AAAGCAACGCATGTGTATGCATTCTTGAGGGGGAAGTGGAAAGTCCTGGTCCTGATGGTAAAAGTTTTCATATTCAAAATTTAAAATTGGCATTGATTTTCACAGCCAGGGCTCACAAAAGGAATGCGTAGTGGATGCGACGGGTGCACGTAGTGAGCCTTCCCGACCTCCAAAATCCAATGGCATTTGATTTCTTCAATGCTGAGCTATCGGACCTATCGTCAGACGGAATCGGCCCAACAGCTCTGGAATATTCCATGTAAGGCCGCTGGATCTATTTTTAAGGCAACAGCAGCCCTGGTTTGAAGGTACATGGGTGTCGCATGGCGTCAATATGAATCAGGTTTGAAACTCCATGTAGGGGGTGTTCCAACCACAAAGCAGCGATGATTCTCAGGTTGCAACTTTGGAACATCACAGGGGCTACAGCTGTAGCCACCCTGCAGGTTGGATCTGGAAGCCGTCCCAAAGTGGGTTCAAGAAGCCCTGGTTTAGTGTTAGATCTATTCATTGTGACACTCATCTGGTTGGTGGTTTGGAAAATGATTTTTATTCTTCCATTCAGTTGGGAAGTTCGTCATCCCAACTGACGAACTCCATCATTTTTCAGAGGGGTAGGTCAACCATCAACCAGTCATGTTGGGGAATTCAATATTCGGGATGGGATTTGTGCTGGATGATGACGGTGAATTCAACAATGAAAATTGATGTTTCCCCCAGTACCGTTTTTTTTTTTTTTTGTGGCGATTGTGCGCATGATCTTGTACAGTTATGGCCCGAGTTATGCCAGTTATAAGTACCAACAAAACACCATTTATAGGATGTATAATCCCATTTATAACCACTTGTAACTAATAAATGGCCATAATAGATAAATATGGTAAATCATTTTAAGCCTGGTAAATGTGGGAATTTGGATGGATTCATATGACATTTCGAGGGGCCCAATTCGAAGCAAAGCCACCAGCATTTGGTTTCTACGCATGCTCTGAAAAAAAACATTTGTCGATATTTGTCTCATATAGCCAACTGACAATATAGGTACTGTAGATTGTTAAGGTCTGTTCGATGATTTTCTCATATTTTTCCACATCTAGACCTCCAGTTCAGGCCTTCCCCAGGACGTTGTCGTCGATCTCCATGCCAGGCAAGCTACGCCGTTCCAAACTGCAAAGTCCTGAGCCTCACGTGGCTTGCGAAGTCGACGGCTCTGATCGTGGGGTGCAGTCGCCACTCGGCACTGAAAATGAAGGCGTTTTGATGTTGGTAAAGCAATGTCATAAACCACCCACACATTATATATATATGTGTGTGTATAACATACATAGTATTAAAATAGTTCATATATATAATATGATATATTTTAATATAATATAATATAATATAATATATTATAGAATACACTATAATATAATATCATAAATTATATAATACAATATAATACAATATAATATAATATAAAATAATATAAAATAATATAAAAGATATGATCAACTATAATATAATATTCAATAATATATAGTATTAAATAAATATATATATATACATATTGAAACATAGATGATGTATTTTAATATTACATAACAAATACAATGTGTATTAAAATATGTAATATAATATGAAATAGATTTTAATATTATATGTATATAATTTATAATATCTCATATATAATTTAATGTCATAATATGTTTCAATATATAAAAACGATAATTAACCATATATGGCATATATGAAACATGTTTAAACATATATAATATGTAAGAAATCAAACGTGTAATATATAATCTATTTTTCTTAAATTTTATATTATATATTATAAAAATAGTTTTAATATCATGCGATAATATAATATAGTATAATTTGCTTTAATTTAATATAATATATATTTTCATTTAATATAATATGATTTAATTTAAAAAATATTTTAATACAACATAATTTAGTAGGATAATGTAATAGAGCAGTCTATAGTAGAATATATTATGATATGATGTAATGTTAAATAATGTAAAATAATATATAATAATATAATATACGTTCATAGATTTTTTAATTTAATATAATATGATAGAATATAATTTAATATAATGTAATATATTCTTAAAAAATATTAATGTAAAATAAAATAACAATATGGATATACAATATACATATTTTTTACACATACACACACACATATATATATATATATGTGTGTGTGTTCATGCATTGATTGTTGGAATCCACCCATAAACATCCGTTAACATCGGCAAATTGGGGGATGGTGGATCCTTTCGCTTTACTAACATGACAGCTGCGATGTGAGCTATTTGATGCTGGAGTCACAGACCGGGGATGCTGAGCAACCCCGGATTATATAAAAAGGTAGATGGAGAAGTTTCTTTGGAACCAATATGGGTGATTGACAGAAGAATGCTTACTCCCTGTTCGTGAGATTCACCATGTGGGATTGTTAGAAAATAGGATCGAACGAAATCTCATGGCTCATCATCATGTTCCGATCGAGATTGACATACGGGTGGCCATGCCAGCAGATTGACTGATACACTGTTGATGAAACATTGCCATAGCATCCCCAACCTTGGATGGGTACATAATTTCATCATGTTTAATCCTTAGCTTTTTTCCCTTATAATTTGTTAAAATATGTTAAAATCAGCAGCCAATCAGCAAACGTTGACCGTTTTTGTTTGGGGTAACTCCTCCATGGGGCAGCCAGCCACGCCAGAACTCTCCAAGACCCGCCAAGGTAAACTGACGGTGTTGAGGATCCAGGGCACTTCAGCACCTGGGACGGAGCATTGGATGGGATTGAATGAAGCAAAAAAAGTGGGATTTCAATGGAATTCATGGAATATATTAGGATATGATTCAATTTCATGGGAAATATGACCTGCTTGGGGGGTGAGTTCCATAAAGATGCCACTGCGGTGCGAACCTCGTAGTAACCATTTAAGACTTCAACAGCCGAGTAGGATTAGGTTGGATAGGACAGTTTTACTTTTGAGATTGGATAGGTAGGATTGGATAGACTACATGGACAGGCTTAAGTGTGGGTATATATACTGTTTGGTGGTTTCAAACAGGTCTAGGCTCAAAACCTGTCAGACCAGGGGTAGACCTACGCTAGCTGATTTGAGCGGTTTGTTTGCAATGGAAACTGAGTGGGACACTGCCATCGCCCGTCATGAGATGTTTTCCCCCAACTGGTCCCGGTTGTCTAAAGGGGATACAATTTCAGTTGTCATCAATGGCCTGGTTTTTACAGAGGAGGTTGTCATTGGTCAGTCGCTGCCGGACAATCAGCCGATTCGACTGTATGGTGACATTGATGCTCAGGTGCGTGGCTGTAAGTGTTTGACTGTGTTGGGTGCTGTGGTTGACTTCAAGCCGCCGTTTGTGGATTTGTTGTTAACTGACTTAAGCATGACCCTTGCCCATGGACTCAAACCTGCTGCCGACCTTTTCAAGACTGTTGAATTTTGTGCTGGACTTGGTGCCACTGGTGTTGGACTTGCTGCTGCTGGTTTTGACTTGGCGTGCAGTGTTGAGTGGCGTTCCCCCCTTGCTGCTGTCTATGAAACTGTGCACCCCACCGTCCCGGTTATCGTTGGAGACATCACTGAGTTGGAATGCCTCAAACAGGTTGCTGCACTGGTGGACTCTCCGTTCTGCCTCACAGCCGGAATCAGCTGCCAGCCATATTCCATTGGAGGAGCTCAGGGAGGCAGCACTGATGAGAGATCAAGCACACTGCCAGCTACCATTCGTGCTTGCTACCTTTTTCAATGCCCGCTCCTGATCCTGGAGTGTGTACCGCCAGTCCGTACCAACCGGTACGCGAGATCCCTTCTTTTGGCTCTGGAGAGGGAATCGGGGTACCATTTGACTGAGGTCACACTGCGCTTAGAGGACACATGGGCATCACGCAGGTTCCGTTGGTGGCTTGTTGCGACACATCCATCACTTGGCAAGGTCTCCATCCCTGATTGGCCACAAGCTCCAGGTTTGGTGGTTCGTGATCTGATGCCTGTCATCCCTTCTTGGTCAGACGAAGTCATTGAGGAGCTTCGACTAAAACCCCATGAAACTAGCATGTTCACGTTGGATGGATCACACATGAGGAAGTATGTGTTGCAACTTGATCAGAAGATGCCGACATGTTTGCATAGCTGGGGGAGCCCTGCAGATCCATGCCCATGCACCTGCCGAGCAGAGCCCTTCAGTGAAGCCTTGATCAAGAGTAGGGGCATTTATGCTGTAGTGGTCCCAATTCCATCAACCACTGGAGAACCCCAGTATCGGCACTTGCACCCTGCTGAACTTGCCGTCTTGAATGGACTTGTGCCTCCCGATGTTTGGACTTCTTCACATCACCCATCACTGCGTCTGTGTCTCTGTGGCGTTGGACAGTTGGCTTCTCCCTTGCAAGCGTTGTGGGTTGGGGCATGTGTTCGCACTCAGTTGTTGCATAGGCTTGGGCTCCCTGCACCAACGTTGACACCAACCGGTGCCTTGCAGCAGATGAAACAGCAGCTGTATGAAGCCGCCAAAGCCATGTTTCTCAGTGCGCCAACCGTTGCACCCACGATCCCAGATCCAGAAGACGCCGATGTTGTCCTGCTGTCCCCGTCAGAGGTTGTACTTCTGTATGCTGACACCACCCAGGTCCGTGTCCAGGTGTCTCCTGAAGCCACTGTTGCACAGTTGCGCCAAGCAGATGATGCCTTGCAAGGAGTTGATGACGGAAAGTGGATCGATGCAGTCACATGCTGTGCGTTGTCAGGTGATGACACTGTCAGTGGAAGGACCATCCGAGTCTGTGCATCCCCGTCCAGTGAACCCATGTCGGAGCCGGCCATTGATCCCAATGAGCTTGAACGTGAGGTACCGTTGGTCCCTGTCGGTCCCTTGGTTGTCACTCCTGCGTCCACGTCCAGCCCAGCTGATGCCATCGAGCCCGCCAGTCAGTCAGCCATCAAGCGCCATTGCACTGTTGATGTTCGTTTGCCCAGTGACACGTTGCACGGCTTTTTGGACTTGTCTGGAGAGCAGTTGGCTGCTTTGATCCCTCCGTTGGTTGTCACAACTGAGCATTGTAGTGCCTTACGTCAGGCCACGACCACCAGCACCATGCGTTTGCAGATCCTGCAAAACCAAGGAGCTGCTATGGCAGATGATGAGTTACACCTTCATGTGTTGTCTTGCGTGCAACTCACAGGCCGCTTGGACTTGGCCTTCTTGGATCCCTTGCTTGCCACTGGATGGCTTCGGTGCGGTACAGTTGATCAAGTCAAGACATGGATGCACAGTGTCCCTCATGCCACCTCCATTGTCAGTGTTGTTTTGCTTGACGGCCATTGGATTCCAATTATGTGGTCACGTGGTTTGAGTGAGGTCCGTGTCACAATGTGGGAACATGATGATGTGTCCATCGAGCCTCTTTTCCCTTTGCATGGACTCATCAGCCAAGCTTGGGAACGACCCATGTTCTCCCTGGCATGCTACCGCCGATCATTTGCCAGAGACCACTGCGGTGCTGCGTCGGTGTGTTTCTTAGGCCATGTCTTACTCAACAAGCCTTTGCCTGTCCACGCTGAGGACCTCTTGCGCATCCATGAGGAACTGAGGAGCAGTTTTGGTGCAGCCCTTGGACTTTTGACAGATGTGCCCAAGCCATGGGGTTGGGGCCTTGGTGTTCCCGATGTTGTTGGTCTTGTCTCCAACCTGCTGCAGCTCCATGGTGTCCCGCATGCCCAGTGTCAGTTACGTGCCAAGATGCTGATCCAAAGCTTGGGAAAGACGGAAGTCCAAAGTGCTGTCACTGGAATCACGCCGTGGAAGTCACTGAAGATTTTGGCCAATGCACACAAGCCGGTGATCCAGCTCGTGCTGCCTGACGAGCAAGCCCAGTACGCTGCATCCAAGCAAGCATCCGCCCCACAAGCCAAGAAACAGCCAGGTGGTACCAAGCGCCTTACACCCGCCCGACCAGCTGAGTTGGACCCTGCCAAGCTGGTCATTGACCATGGAGCCTTTTGTGTGGATTGTGATGAACCTCTCATGCAGACACCATTCAATGCTCTTGGCCCGCTGTCAGTAGGAGTTGCACTGGCCACGTTCCAGGATGCCAAGCCTTTCTTGGATGCAGGCTCCCTGTTGTCATCTGGTGGACTTGCCATGCTGATCATCAACCCTCCAGCTGATTTTGCCACGTCGCTGCAATGGTCCTCTTTGCGGTTTGCTGCCAGGTGTGCTTATAACCAGGAGCCCATGTTGCTGTCAGGTGCACTTGTCCAGCTTGGACGGAAGACCGTATATCAGTACAAGGCGAAGAATGTCCCTGCCATCATGTCAGTTGAGGTAGCTACTGTTTACTTTGACCAGTGGGAGCAAAATTGGGAAGACTTCGCCAGCAAGCCTGTCAAGCATGTCCTTGCCTGCATCCCATGCCTCCAGACCTGTCGCGTCCCGTCCTGTCAATGTCCTGGCTGGCACCCGTCCCCGACTGACCAGCATGATGCTTTGTTGGATGTTTTCCGCCGGCAGTTCTTTGGTGAAAATGGCCGTCCTACCAAGTGGGACAAAGCAGACTACTTTGCTGTCCTGATCAGGTATGTGAAGTGTTTGGAGCCTGCCGTGCTTACATTGAGCGGCCGCTGTGGCCTTTTCATTGAACCCAAAACTGAGGATGCAATGCAGCCACATGGTGACTACCAGGTCATCTGGTTACCCAGCTTGGACTTTGCCACGGTGTCTCACAAGGCCAAAATCGAGGCTCACTGTCTGGGAATTGCCAGGTCAGGACGACGCTATGGACTCCGCGTCAAAGCCCAGCATTTCCAAGAGGTCTTTGCAAGTGTAAAACCTGAAGCAGTCTTCCTTGCTCCTAGGTCTCGGATGACCTACCATACTGGCCCATGGCCGTATGGATGCGACAGAAAGAGCATCGCTCGTGCTCTCAAAGCGGCAGGCTGGAAAGCTCGACCTTTGCAACCGCTGCAGAATGTGCCGGGTGGTCTTGTCTGGTCAGTCCAAGCAGTTTGCGAGCCCCCAACCAATGTGCTTGCCATGCAGCATGGGCAGGTCGTTTTGACACGCCATGACACAAAGCCAGCACCAGCTGAGTTGCCGCCCAACGTTGTGGGTCAAGAGGCCACAGTGCGCATGTGCTCCACCATGCCTACCACAGAAACGGATCCGTGGCTCACGCATGACCCGTGGAAGAAGGCCATCGCTGCAGCCCCGCAGCCACCCGTGCCTGCTCCAACTGCCAATGCCCTGCAGGAGTTGGAAGACCGAGTCGAGCGCAGCATCTTGGCCAAGCTGCCCCAGCAGAATGAGGGTATGGAGGTGGATGACCAGGACCAGCGCATCGCCCAGCTCGAGATGCAGCTGCACCAGTTAGCTGGACGCCAGACCCAGCTGGAAGCCACTGTCTCTGACAACCATGCCCAGCAGTCCGCCCAGGTCCACAACCTCCAACAGCAGATGTTGGTTCAGATGGACCATCAATCCAAGCAGATGCAGACGATGCTGACAGACCAGATGAGCAGGATCGAAACGATCCTATCCAAGAAGAGCCGAACAGAGTGACGGTCCGGGACCCCTGCGCAGAAGCCCGCTCGTGGGGGGATCCCATGGTTTTTCAAACCATTTAGGGCCTTTTTCCTCGCCTTTTTGTTTATGCAGACTTGCCGCATTGGTGAAGCTCGAAAGCCTGGCCCCAACACTGATCCGACTTGGAGCATCGGGATTTGCAATCCCTCTGGATTGCAAGGGAAGTATCAGTTGGTTAGCGGTGTTGACGCCAACATTCTGGCCATCAGCGAGTCTCATTTGACCAAAAGATCCATGCACAATTTTGACCTTAGCCTTCGGGCGATGCATTCACGTTTCACCAGAGTGATCACTGGTGCCCCTTTGGCACCTCGTTCCCACAGTAGCGATGCTGGAGGATATGCCGGGGTAGCATTCACCTCCACGTTCCCCTGCAGAACTGTAGCTGTCCCATGGCCTGCAGATGCATATGAGTCCAGCCGTGTTCAGATTGGTTCGTTCTTCAGCCCAGCGGGATGGGTCACAGGCTCCGTTGTCTATGGATACCCAGCCGGAAAAACACATGTGGATGCCAAGGCGAAGACAGAGCAGCTTTTGGATTTTGTCGTTAATCACTTGAACGCTGTGCCAGGTCCCCGTTTCTTTGCCGGTGATTGGAATTTTGAGATTCATGAGCTTGCCTTGGTTCCTCTTTTGCGTGCGGCTGGTTGGGTTGAAGTGCAGGACCTTCTGCATAGCCGTACAGGCGCCCCGGTGCAATTGACTTGCAAGGCAGCCACAAGAAAGGACTATCTGTGGTTGTCCCCAGAACTTGCGTTGGGCTTTATGGATTTGCAATTGGACTTTGAGACCTTTGCTGACCATGCAGTGCTTGTGGCCCAGTTCCGCGGCGGTATCCCTCACATGGAACGTTTTGTCTGGCCTTGTCCGAAACCTGTCCCATGGCAACAGGTCCCTGAACCCCCTGGCGCTTTGGACTTTCAAGCCCCAGTTGACCCCACTGCCCAATATGCTGCTCTGTGGTCTTCCCGTGAAGCTGCTGCCAAAACTGCACTTGCCGGCGACTGGCTCCCCAGTATGCGTGGCCGTGGCCAACAAACCAAGCCAAGGCGAGTTGTGAGCAGACCTGCACCGATCAAGCAAGGTCGCAGCACGGATGTTCAGCCACACTTTTTTGGGTTTTCCGTTGTGCACACCCAGAGGTTCAAACAGGTGAGGAGGTTGCAAAATTTTTGTCGATGGGTTGACAATCATGCCAATGGCCACTCGTCGGATCCATCTCATGGAATTGCCCTGTGGAATTCTGTGCTGCGTGCCCCTGGTTTTGCACCTACTTTCGCTCAGTGGTGGCCCCATCGACTATATATGTCAGCCCAGCGGACCCTGTCGACATGCCAGCGTACTGTCCTCCTCCGTGCGTTGCACATCACATCTTTGATGCGGTCCTTGCTGAAGTCCGTCTGTTTGAACAGCGGTTGAATCAGATGCGTGCTGCCCACCGGATCCATCAACACAAGCTGGATCGCAACCTGGTCTTTCGGGAACTTGCCCGACCACAGGCAGCGCCAGTTGAGTCTCTCCTTCACCAGGTGTCAGGAGTCGTGGAGTCGGTTGATGTTGATGAAAGTGCCATTGAGTTGAAAGCTCCTGTAGATGTCAGAGATGACCTCACCCTGTGGGTCGGAGGTGCCCCCAAAACTGTCATCCATGCGGAAGCTGACAAGGTGTGGATCGACGATGTCACGGATGTCACAGCTGATGCAGTCATGACCCAGTCTGAGCCTGTTGGGGATTTGGCCACCATTTTTGATGCTTTCCACACCCAGTGGAAGCAGCGTTGGTGCCGGCATGACAACACTTCGTTCCGTCAGTGGGACCAGCTCCTTGGATTTGCCCAACGGATCATGCATCCCACACCCATTCCTCACCTTGCTCTCGATGTTGACCTTCTCAGGGCTGAAGTGCACCGGAAAAAGAAAACCGCGGCAACGGGGTTGGATGGTGTCAGCAGACAGGACCTCATCCATGCTGATAACCAAACGCTCCAGAGCATCACAAATGCCTTTACCCGTGCCGAGACGGATGGGGAGTGGCCATGCCAGCTCTTGGCTGGCAAAGTCCATTCGTTGGCCAAGCGCCCTGATGCAAGTGGCCCCAGCGACTATCGCCCAATCACTGTCTTTGGTTTGGCTTACCGTGCCTGGTCCAGCCTTCAATCCAGGCATTTGCTTCATTGGGCTGAAGAGTGGGTTGATCCTGGAGTGTATGGCAACAGAAAAGCCCGACAGGCCTCTGACCTTTGGCATTGGTTGCTTTTGCAGGTTGAAACTGCCTACAGTACGGGCCAATCAATTTGCGGGGTCTCAGGGGACTTGGAGAAATGCTTCAACTGCATTCCACGCTACCCAGCGCTGTGCCTGGCCATCCTTGCCGGGACACCTGCCTCGGTCACTACAGCTTGGGCTGGTGGACTTGCCCAGATGAAGAGGCATTTCAAAGTCAGGGAATCTTTCTCTGCTGGCTTCCTCACCTCAACTGGACTTGCCGAGGGTTGTGGTCTCAGTGTGTACGGGATGCTTCTTGTCGACCATCTGTTCCACAAATGGATTTCCTTCCAGTGCTCCCCCGTACGTTCCTTGTCGTATGTTGACGACTGGCATGTCTTTACATGGGACTCCCAGTCTGCCCTGCGTCAGTTGGACTTGGTTGTGGAATTTGCCACCATGTTGGACTTGTCTGTCGACCGTCGCAAGACGGTAGCCTGGTCAACTGACCCCCACCTCCGCCAGCTGCTCCGGTCTCAGCAGGTTACCGTTGTCCACCATGCCAGGGAGTTGGGTGGCCACTTTGGGGTGTCCCGACAATACACCAACAAAACAGTGGCACAGCGTATTGAAGCTTTGGAAGACCTCTGGCCCAAACTTCGCATGAGCAAGGCCAGATACCAAGCCAAGGTATACATGTTGCGTGCAGTGGCCTGGCCGAGAGGTTTGCATGCCATTGCAAGTGCTCCCATCGGTGACAACATCTGGACTGAGCTCCGCCGCCGAGCCACGCATGCGCTCGGGCTGCAGCGCCCTGGTGTCAACTCCAGTGTCCTGTTGGGCCTTGTCGAACCGTGCACGGACCCCCAACATGTTGCCCTCTTGTGGACTTGCCGTGCTGCCCGAGCTGTCTGTGACTTGGATTTTTGGTCTGTGCCGGTTGCTTGTGCAGCTCACGGTGATGTTGACTTGCCCCCCAATTCGGTCGCCTCCATCCTCCTCACCCGGCTTCACCAGGTTGGGTTCACGATTGACCGTCAGGGTTACGTCAGTGATCAGTTTGGCCGCTTCTCCCTGCATCACACCAACTCAGCAGAAGTTGAACTCCGACTGACATGGGGATGGTACCGATATGTTGCTGCGAAGGTGCATCACCGTGCGGAGTTTCATGGCCTTTGGTTAGCAGATGTTGCCAACACCAGGCGTGCTCTTGCCCGACTCGGGGCCGATGACCAAGCGATGCTTCGGTTTGGCCTGATTGGCGGCTTGTTCACCGAATCGTACAAGGCCAAGTGGACTTCTCAGCCTGACACTTGTCGCTGGTGTGGCCAAACGGACACCCTGAGTCACAGATACTGGGAGTGCATACAACATGCTGACCTGCGCCAATCACTGGCCCCAGATGTCGTGCCAATTTGGACCCAACTGCCCCCTGCGTTGACGCTGCGTGGCTGGGCTCTTGTTCCACCTACATGGCAACAATGGATTACCACTCTTGCGGCCTTGCCTGACCAAGTCCTTCCCCCGGCCCAACCTCTTGGACTTGAGGGTTGGAATGATGTCTTCACTGATGGCTCTTGCCTGTGGCAGTCTGCTGCCTGTTACCGCCTTGCTTCCTGGGCTGTTGTTCTTGCCCCCCCCTGTCGGTCGTCATGGACTCCCGAGGCGACTACGGTCTTGTGTGCGTCTGTGTTGGCTGGTGTTTGTCAGACTGCGTTCCGTGCAGAAGTTTATGCTGTTGCGTACATTTTGCATTGGGCTGCCAGTACTGGCGCAGCAGTTCGCATCTGGTCCGACTGTTTAGGGGTTGTGAACAAGGTGAAGTTGGCGCGCAAACGACAGTTACGGGTTGCAATCAACAGACCAAACAATGACTTGTGGCAATGGATTGTGGAGTCTATTGAACAGTTGGGCCCCGAGAAGGTGCAGATCCGGAAGGTTGCAGCTCACCGCACTCTGCAAAGTGCGACGAATACAGTTGATGCGTGGGAGATTTTTCACAACAACTACGTTGACAATGCGGCGAAGCTGGCCAACCATGCAAGGCCAGAACAATTTTGGCGACAGTGGGAAACACATGTCCAAGAGACTCAGGTCGCTCACAATTTGGCACAGCAGGTCCAGGCTTTGCATGTTGCAGTTGGTCGCAGACATGTCCGTGCGGACACAGCAGATGACCGACAGGAGGTTCCAACTACGAGGGTTACCCGCGAGTTTGCAACTGCTTTTAGTTTTGGACAGTGGCACGGCCATGCTTTCCCACAGACGTCCAGGTTGTTTGGAGGTACGCATGTGGTGAGGGTGGTACAATGGTTTCAGGCCCGCACAGAAGGCGTTCCGCTGACAGATGTTCGATGGGTTTCATTTGCGCAATTGTATTTGGACTATCAGATGTGTTGGGGGCTCCCAGGTCCACTTCGCGTTCAAAACCAATGGGTGGACATCCAACAGAGACCCCATCTTACAACAGCTGGTTTTTCATTTCGCCAACAGCTCAAATGGTTCCGCCAACTGCTCAAAGCCATGTGGAAGGAAGCAGCCATGGTTGTGGGAATGGCCCAGTGTCGACCAGACACTAATGATCACTGCTTTTGTGCAGAGTGCTTCGGTTCCTTGGGCGTCACATGCACTCACCACTGTTGACAACTGGCTTGCAAAGGAACTTTCCAGACCATGTTCCAGAGATGCTGGAGCCCTGGCGTCACTGCCCGCTGCCGCGAGGTGCCCAGGGATGCAAGTGTAGTCCTAAAGTTGGACCCAGTTTGTAGATATCGCTCCGAGTGCTTCGCTCCAAGGACCGAGCATGCACATCGCCCGAAAAGATGGAAAAGATGGTGGTTTCAAACATGTTTTATTTTCCATTTCATATATGGGATAATCCTTCCCATTGACTAACTCATTATTTTTCAAGATGGTTCAAACCACCAACCAGATAAGTATATATATTTACATATATATATATATATATGTCCACCTGTTGGGAACCCAGTTCTGACAGTACCGGTTTCACAGATGGACATGGCATGACACCACGTTGGTTTCCAGCACGGTGAGGCCCCCGTTCGCAATCGCTAAGTTGGTGTAAATAACAGACTATAACGATTGGATATCTGGAGATATCGAGCTAGTTAGATGGGTTGTAAACCAACAAACATTTTTTTTGGGGGGGGGCTTCCTTTAGTTATAAGATGTTATAAGCTACTTATTGGCACCCACATCTCGCGATTTCGTAGACTGGTGCCCCACCTTGACTCAAGGCACCAAGCCCGGGCGGCATTGATGGTAGATAGGCCGCGTGGGTTTATCATGGTTTATTTAAACATGGGGTATAGTTGGTAAAATGATGTGATAAACAACCTGCTGAAAATCAGTAGAATTTCAAGGGTACATACAAGGCGGCGCCCCTCACGTATTATAGGTTGGCGTGTTTTAAACTCCATTGACTAGAGTACTAAATGCGCCCTAAACCCCAGTTACCCAAGTTATAAACATTTGTAAACCATCTTGGCAGTTAACTATACGGCTATATATGGCTATCTAATGCTATTTTTGGGGACCCCACCTACCCTGGACGAAGCTACCTCCGAGGCAACCACCGTCCTGATTGCAAAGCTACCTCCGCTGGTCGATGTCACAAAACTGGTGGCACTAGACGCACCACGACATGGTGGCCGTGGTGGTGAAGTGGCTGATGCTGGCAAACGGTACCATCTGGTTATTTAACAATTTTAACATAGCCATGGAAAATCACAATTTTTAATAGGTAAACCATCTATAAATGTGCCATTTCCCATGGCTATGTTCAATAACAAGAGAACCAGAGGGTAATCCATATTAAATCCGTTTTTTGAAAACCTACCGTTTGGTAATCAAACGTGGCTAGGAAAACCCCTAGCAATGGAAATTTTGCCGGGAAAAGCAACTTTAAATGGTGGATTTTCCATTGGCAGATAAAGCCACAATTATTTGGGTATCCAATCGGAACGTATCAAAGATTTGTGTATCCAAACACATTTACTAGTTGTGACAGCTACGCATGTGGTTCAAATGGATTTTTGTTGCAAGCCATTCTCACTCTGCAGTGTATCGTCGCTCCTACCCACCGGTGTCATCAAACATGGCTGGAAAATCCCCGAAATGGAGGTAAGGAGGTTTCAATGGGAAAATCATCCAGAAGTGGTAGAATTCCCATTGCCATGTTTGATTACCGGAGGGTACATGTGATTAATTTTGATGATGATTCACAATTAATGGTTTAGTTGCGGTTTTTGTTTGTTGAAAAAGAGTGCCATTTTTATTTGGCTCTGTCAGAAAATAGGATCCTTCGAAATCCATTAGTAAATCATAATGGTCCCCGTGAGAATATATATATATATAAGAATTTGATCGGCCTTATTTCCCATATTTACTATATCATATTCAAGATTCATTTTCCTCTATGATCCCCCACCAAAAGTTTCAATTTTGGGGTTTCCTTTTCTGTGGCACCGGAAGCCGAGGGCCACAGCTTCGCGTTCGGAAGCAGCCGAGGTGGGCTGCCAAATGGGACGTTTTTCCATGGGAAAGCCATCGAAAAACGTTGGAAACATGTGCAGAAACGAAGAAACCTTTTTTTTGGGGATAGTTTGGAATCATTAAAAAAGTTTGGAAGATTGTAACCATATACCTTGACTTTCAGCCTTTCTTGGGATTTGATGGGCAAACGGGTACCATTTGATCATCCGTCCAGCACTCATCAGCACCCCCGCGGCACCAAGGAGATGTTTGTATCGGAAGTACTGGGGGGGTTCACATGGATGACTCACGCCGCTTGGCTCCATCTGTCAGGGTTTCAGGCTGGTTACATCAATGGAACTCAGACGTCAGAAATGGAAATAGCTGCTGGTAATTTTACGTGGCTATGGGAATTCACCGTATTTACTAGGTAAATCATAGTAAGTCAATAGAACTCATCTATAAACGGGCAATTTTCCATATGTATGTTAAATAGGAGAGGGTAATTTGTTCAAAGATTTTGGTCCCTTGCAAAACACATGGCTGTTTTTGACCTTGGTTTACCAGCGCTGATTGGCCCCGAACTTGGACTAGACACACCATTTTGTTGATATTTTAGGATTTTAGGCAATGAAAAGGCAGACAACTAGAATCATCCATTGGCTCCCTCTTTAGGGAGGAGTATAGCCGGTATAGCCTGACTTAGAAACAGACATTTTGATATGTGTTAGCCTCTGGTTGTTCATCTCTATTTGACGATGATGAACCTCCAATTCTTGGTTTCACATTTCTCCACATCGGGACGCGGCGGAAACGTTTCAGCGGTCCAGGATGTTTTTATCCCGGCGGGCGCATCAATTCGTTGCAGCTTTCTGAGGATGCCAAGGCCGGGGGACCGGACTAGGTGGGGCTCCTGGATGGAAACGTTAAAGGTTGGCCGATGTTGGTGGTTATAGGTTTTCTACTGTTTAAACATGAACCTTTTTATTAGGTAAAATCATAATACATAAAGAATGTTCTACTTTCCAATCCTGAGCTCAACTCTCAGTTCAGCATATTTCCCCCAGCCTGCTCCCTCAAGAAGAGGGCAGGAAAAATCCTGCAAAATAAGAATCAAGTCTCAGTTTGCATGACTATCATCATCCCGTGTTGACGTACTTGAACCAGCACAATTTCGGGCCCTTTTCTGAGGTGCTCTACAGTGGGAGCTCCAGCGGAAGCATTTGTCAACTGTTTCTGGATCAGATTGAGAAAATGAACGGCAGTTCCTCGTCTTCAGCGTGGCCAAAACAAAAAGCATTTCTGCATTTCTACACCAGAATGCGGATAGCCAAAACCATGAAAAATCGATTGATAGGCAGATCAATCATCCAATCCGCTGCCTACGGATGAATAGGCCTAGAGGGCCTATTGCAAGGGGCATAATCTAGTCAGACAGTGTTAAAAGCAAATTGCCATACGTCTTGGTGATCACGTTCTATTCCTTTAATGAAATCAGATGACACATGACAAACATGTCATACAATGTCAGCACCTCTTGTTGTCTCACAATCCTCATTTTGACATATTTGTACTCGCATCAGGGGCCACCATAGGAATTATTCCGCAATTCTCACGTGACTTTTGGAATTACTACAATTATGGTCATTTATTAGTTATAACTGCGTTATTTCTGTGGGATTATACATTTTGTAAATGGTGTTTTCTCAGTACTTATAACTGGTAGTGATCGGGCCATAACTGTATGGTGTCATCTATATTTTTGATGTTTTTGGCTTACGATCCCACACTGTCACACGCTCCCCTTGCCATGGCACAGCCACCACCAGGCTGCTTCACTCAGCCAGACACCTGGCCGGAGAACGAGGTTTTATCCCTGGCCCTGCTGCGCGAAAGACACTTGGCCGCGGATGACGTCGCGGTGCTCCAGTTCGGTATCCTCCACAAATTTCGGGTTTATAAGAAACAGACATATGGAACGTTGAAATATAACCTACTGACATATGTGGATTTAGCATTATTTAGCTAAGTTAATCATAACTAGGCCAACTAGGTCATTTGTTGTACGTAGAGGGAGAGAGAGAGAGAGGGAGAGAGAGAGAGAGAGGGATATATATATATATATACATATGATATATATATATATATATGTATATAATATATATATATATATCTGTGTGTGTGCCGGATATATCTATAGTTGATCGGGTTTTGAGCCAACTTATAACTAGACTAGATATTATATCGATCTACTTAATGCTGATTATAATCCAACTTACAACTTGGGCCACCGCATTGCAGGGATGGGGTGTCGCTGTGAATAGGGTTATCGCGTTTTGGGAAAGGGGAGATGCTACTGAATTTTACACGGAAGGTCGGGGAAACCAAAAAAGATGCGGCAATTGATGTCCAAAGGCAAGAAAACAATCTTTCCATCTTCCAAAGCTTTGTAGTGGGGTGTTATACTGATTTTTTTTGAGGGATTATTTGGAATGGTTGGAACATACTTCTTGCGGGCCCCAGTGTTCCAGGGTACTCACCAGGATGACACCTCGGATTAAGACTGATGGCTGCTCGTCACGTCCCAGAAATGTGGCTGGTTGGTCGCCTTCGAGCGTACAACCAACAAAAAGTGGGTTTTTACATCCAACCATCCAAGCAAAATCTGGTTGGTGGTTTGGAACATTTTGTGTTTTTCCCATTCAGTTGGGAATTTCATCATCCCAACTTCCCAACTGACTTTCGCATATTTTTCAGAAGGGGTTAGCAGTCAATCCCACCATTTTATGGTGAAGCCAGATGGATTTAGTGATGGGGATCCAGGTGGGTTGCGGCTAGCAGCTGGACCTCTTGGTGTTTCAATTTACAGTTATAATAACTTAGGAGTTATGATGGTTATAGTAGTTATGGAAACCAACCTTTGATGGTGATAACCAGCATGATGGTGTTTTAACCATAATAACATGATGGATAGATCGGATACATCTATAGTTTCATGTGGTTTTTCACCCGGTTAAGCCGGTTATAAACCAACCTTTCAGAAGGACACCGCTACGTCGCTACGTCACCGGCCAGGCAATCTGTTGGCGAGTAGCTCTGCCAATGGCTGGTTGGCGGTGTGGGACTTGAACGATGCGGCTGGGCTCTGCCAGTGTCATCCCATCCCCGATTCGGTGCAGCCCCGGTGGCCCCTACCCGGCCTGGTAAACCTACAAAAAACAATGGAAAATCCACCCATGCTATTAATGTGTAAATCAACTATTTCGACTGGGCCATTTTCAATAGCTATTTTGACATAACCAGAGGGTAAATGGTTCCAATGATGTGGAAATTCCTTGCTAAACCATGGTTCCGGCTGGGTGTTTTTAATATTAGGAAGGAATTATATAAAGAATTGTTGATGTGGCCAAGCAGTCTCATTTGCCGGCGAATGTACCTCCAGCCAGCTGTAGGATTTCCAGGCTAGCGAACCTGTACATTTCTGTATCATGCGTCTGTACCCACCATTTCTTGCAAAAAAAGGAATGGAGATGAAATTACTTTACTTCGTGTGATCCCCACCATGACATTTATACATTCTCTTACTGGCAAATCTTCTGGCATTCTATCTGACATATCTTCTGGCATTCTATTTGGCAAATCTTCTGGCATTCTATCTGACATATCTTCTGGCATTCTATCTGGCAAATCTTCTGGCATTCTATCTGGCATATCTTCTGGAATATCTTCTGGCATTCTATCTGGCATATCTTCTGGCATTCTATCTGGCATATCTCATGGCATTTTATCTGGCATATCTTCTGGCATTCTATCTGACAATTCTATCTGGCATATCTTCTGGCATTCTATCTGGCTGTTGAGGTCCAGCGGTGCACACTGAGCTGGGCAGGTCCCCGGTTGAGGTCCAGCGGTGCACACTGAGCTGGGCAGGTCCCCGGTTGAGGTCCAGCGGTGCACACTGAGCTGGGCAGCTCGCAGGTTGAGGTCCAGCGGTGCACACTGAGCTGGGCAGCTCGCAGGTTGAGGTCCAGCGGTGCACACTGAGCTGGGCAGCTCGCAGGTTGACGTCCAGCAGTGCGCACTGAGCTGGGAAGTTGGCGAAGAGCTTGGCGACGAGTTGGCAAGGTTGGCAAGGCGGAAGTGGAGGTGGAAGAGGCGGAGGCGAGGAGGAGGGCGAGGAGAGGTAGTCGAGGAGGAGGAGGCGGAGGAGGAGGAGGCGGGCATGCGCTCTGATAAAATCTAACAACCCTCACCTGGCAGGTGGGGAACAATGAGTGGAAACCATATGAGGCAACTGGAGATTGGAAAAACAATGGGCTGGTGAAATTTGGAGAAAACCCTGGAAAAAAAAATGGGTCAGTTGGTTTTGGTAGGATCCCCTTTGGGAAATGTTGCCCAAAGGATCAATAACCCCCGGGTAGGGCCGCCACCGCAAAAGATGTTTTTCTGGCCACAAGAAGCTGGTATCCACCGCTTAAACATGCTTAATGTGCTCAACCCAATGATAAACCATACCATTCTAGATCATTCTAGGTATGGGGGAATCATGTACATCCCCCCAGGGGTCAACAAACCGCAAACTGGGGGATAGTTTATGTCACTACGTTTGCCAAATTAGTACAATAATCAATCAGCTCATATAATTATATTAAACAAACCATTAATACCATTTTTTCAATATTCTTAAGATATCAAATGCCATGGGATTTTGCCACAGTAAACCATATGATCATATGAATCAAGTTCCCAGGTGAGTCTCCAGTGGCCAGCGATCAGCGATGCCATTTAGGTCGCTTCAGGGAATCTGGAGCCAGTGATGAAGCAACAGACCAGCAACTACCAGGCACGGATTGTGCCTTGGCATCGGTAACTGCTGCCCTGCCAAGTGGTGTTCGTGGAACGGGGAGGTCTGCCCAAGGGGATGGCAAGGCTGTAGGTTGTAAGTTGGCTCCTTCTTGGTCAATATGATAAAGTTAAGTTGGTTATGATAATGTTAATATGTAGGTCATAAGCTGGTTAATGATAAAGTGATGCCAAGCTATTTCTGATTGGTGGTTTGGAATATTTTCTATTTTTCCACATATTGTGAATAATAACCCCAACTGACGAGCATATTTTTCAGAGGGGTAGGTCAACCACCAACCAGATTTTTTTGTGCGGGGCAGTTGCTGAGGTCGCGGGGGCGGACTTGACCTACTACTACGCTGCTTGGCGCCGGAGGAATCCGTTTCAGAGTCTCCCAAGACCTGCCGGTTCAGGTGCGTGCCCGATCTAAGTTCCATAATTATACTGGTATACATACTGTGCATATATATATATATATATATATTTATATATATATCATATATATATAATATTTATGTATATATATATATATATACACATATATATATATATACATGTGTACACATATACATTATATATCCACCTATATACCCACACATGGTCCAACCCTTAGATGGTTTTTCCCCATCTTCCAGGTATGGTTTCCCCTTTTTTTTCATGTCTTACCCCTTTTGGTCAAGCCAGGTTTCAGGGACCCTGGGCATGATCCAAGCCTTCTTCGTGAACTCCATCCCAATGGCCGTGCGACGCATGCGCCAGTCCCAGCTCTGCCAAGACGCTGCGGCAGAGTGTTCCACCGATTGGGTCGCTGCGGCGGCGCGTCATGGGCTGGGGAAAACATGGGAATACCTTCGATGAATAGTTTAGGACTTCAGAATCTTCTATATACTTTAAATGCACAAAAATATTCATCAGCTAAACATCTAGTTTGTTGCAGGGTATCCAAGAGCCATGAAAGGAGGACAGGAAACTTGCAGAAACAGATGCAACCAGCAGAAATCAAACTGGGGCCAGAGTCGGTCGCCGACAGCGCTATGTTTTGAAGTAAGCAATGGTGGATTTTGTCAGCTTCAACTAGGAGCAATCACCAACAAAAGTGGGGATTGACGCAACCAAAAGTCTGGTTTGAAGCCACAAAATCATCGGGATGGTGGTCAACATATATGTGGATGAGTAGATAGTTTTTACGTGAACCGCGCCCCCAAAAGACATTAGCCAAACAGTCAAAGAATGTCCAGCACATCGGGCCTTGGACAGTCAAACGATGTATTGTAGCCACACACTTAGATTTTTGTAGTTTTTGAAAACTAGAGGGTTATACCATATTCCAATACAAAACAGGACCTTAGTAAGGGATCAACAGGCAATCAAGTTTACTAGAAAACAACCCATAAACCATGACATGACCCCAGTAGATCTGAGGTCAGAAGCCATAGTCAAGTTGGCATTGACATCCCTGTCTACTTGGAAACTTGGCAGCTGATCCTGTAGTAAAGCTGTCAAATCTCTCTCAATCAACATGTCTTGCTGCAAACCCTTCAGTTTGTTATTTAGTTCGATGTTTTTTCCCATTTAAATATCCAATCCAATCTATCGTCATGTATACATTCATCTCCAACCTTGAATAGGTAGTAGTTTTATCCTTTAGTGTTTTTGTTTGGCAATGAATTGAAAATAACCATAACCAGCAAAAATGGACCAAGCATAGATTTACCATTGCCATGTGTTCCCCAGCCACCAGTCAGGTCAACTGCGTGCAAGTGCTTTGTGTTTGGTCGTTTTGTTCCCTGTAGATAGTCCGAGTTCCACATGCTTTCTACTTCCTAATTCTGCTATGCTCGAAACCATGGCTTTTACCACCAACTATAGGGGTTTCCCACAAAGTTTCCCTCAAACAAATTCTGGGAAAGATGCTACCAGCACTTTTAGGCATAGAAATGTGGCTCCTATCCTTATGTTGCAGTCAAAGCTGCCCACTGAATCACTTTGCTATTCATGGCCGGTTTGAAAAACTACCGGGAATTGAGGACAATCTGCCTCTGCAGTGGCTGTCATTGCAAAGCGCTATGGTGGCTTCCCGGCTTCGTTGATTTTTATTTTTAGTTGTGAGTGGTCCCTTTGATGCGGAATCATGCCTACTGGTCACATATGCTGAGCTGGCATGAATTAATTTCCGTAGCGTTAGCCAAACTTGGTGGAGTAGCTACTCAGGCAGAAATTACTCACATACCTGTGTAAAGCTTCGTCGGGTGTCAATTGGTGAATTATTTAAATTTTCCTTTTTTTAGAGCTGCACGGAATGTGTCATACCATGTCATATCAGTCTTACCCAGCAGAAACAAATGCGGAAGGGCGGGCTATCCAAATGTCCAAAAAATTCACAAAAAGTCTTGTTGTGACTGGCCATTTCAGGAATCTAAATTGAAAGTACCTAATATATATATATATATATAGATAGATAGATAGATAGATAGACAGATAGATAGATAGATAAGGCTAATGTCAGGGATATGTAAAGGGACATTATCCCAGAAAATGCCGTTGTGTTTTGTTTGGTGGTTTTTTGAGTGTCCAAGATCGCAGGAAGGGCCTTGTTGGTCATAAGTTGGTTTATAACCCCGTCGAACCAGTTCGATATATTTCCATCATAAATCCATTCGGTATTATAGTTAATGTCAACCCCGGAAAAGACTAAACCATGGTTTATTAGGGGGTATTCCCCCAATAGTCATGATTTGATACTTAAATGGTACCCTCCCAATGAAACAGCCGTTTGGGGTTTATTAATCCAGGGTTGGCATCAGAAATATAAACTAACTTAGCGATTCCGAACTGCGGCCCCTTGGCCCCTTGCTTTTCACCACTTCATCACACCATGATATAAAAAGCCGGACATTTGGTCCTTCTGCGCCGCCCAGGAGAGGATGGGAGTGCGACCGCCCATCAGTTTGCGAAAGGTGAACCTATCTGGCATCGTGATGTCGAATTGGAGGCCAGCAAGCTTATCAGCTGGTGTGGCTGACGTTGACAATATTCATATTCAGATATATCACAATATATACCCTCTATTATATAGGGTCTCTATATATATATATAATATCTATTATTGTTGATATGATTACATATGCATAAATAAAGATATATATATATATATACATACATAGATTTTTTCTATATGTGATCCTATATGTGTGCAACTATATATTGACAACTAATTTTTTATATAACTAGTTTGTGCTAATCAAATTATATATATATATGTGTGTGTGTGTACTTACTTAGGCTCTCCTATTCTCTGGACAAAATAGGTAAAGTCCCAAAATTGTGTGGGTATATGAAGTTGAAGCCCTATTTTCCGAGGTACTTGGAGGGTCTAGGTATACACCATATATGAATATATATATACATATCATCATATATCCACGATATATGCATGATATACACCTGATATACACATGACATGTACAGTCAATGATATTCACTAATATAAGTTTCAAATTTTAGATGTTGCCCTTCAAAACAATTAGTAACAGGTCATGTTTTCTATTTCACCCAGCAGTTGGGAATGAACATGCGTAGCATGGGTTGATCGGAAATGGAGGACTAGGCAATCTGAGGATAGCATTGGGCCAAGGTGGGCTGGTGTCGGAGTGTTGCTCCACCATGGGTATGCTGCGACTGGCCACAAAGTAGCCTTGGAACTCACTTGGAACGACCTCAAACAGCGTAGGTAGCAAAGAGCCATGACAATCGTTGATTCGTTCCAGATCCATGGATGCTTCAGCATCTTTTTTCCAAGACTCAGCTGATTTAACCAAACAATAGGTTCATAATCCGTTATTAACCATCATATGGCCGTTATTCTGGTTATATTAACCAGTATCTGGTTATTCACCATTATTATTCATCATAAACATAGATTAATAATGCTTATTAACTGACCATTATTACCAGTGTTTTTATATCCATCAGCTGTGTCCTTTTCCACTTCAGCCAGTTTCACCGGGGCGAGGTCTATGAAGTTCGGCTGGTGGTCCGTGCCTTCAAAGATCGATGTGAGGAATACCACCTTCGTCCAGATCCCCGTGTTGCACGGTGAGGCAGGAAACGGTCCACCGGTGCAACCGGTGAGTCGCTGGGGACTTTATGATGGGTATATAATGTTATATATGTATATATATATATATATTGAATAGCTCTTGAAAACGGCCCATTGATAGATGGTTTACCTATTAAAAATGGTGATTATCCATGGCTATGTTAAATAACCAGAGGGTATATTGAATAGATGATGCATCTCTTTTGCTTTACTGTGAGATCCTGGGAGGTACTTGTATGATCTTGTATGGAGATGTTCAATGATTTTATGGCATGTGGCATCAAGATATTATTGCATATCATATGCATATAACTATATATATAGTTTAATGTATATATATATATATATATACATACTTAGTAGAGAGAGATTATACTGCAATGGTGTTTGTGGCTCAAAACTACCCAAATGAGGTCAGACCCGGTCGGATCTTTGTAAGCTATGCCCAGGTTCTTGGACGTGTGGATGTCCGGTCACGTCCCACTTGACTAAGGGATTGGCAACCGGCGACCCTTTATCCCATCATATTTACCGAGAAAAAGCTTAAAGGCAAAAGGGCCCCCATAAAGACAGAACCGCGTTTCCACAGCGATTGTTTTAATTACAGTATTTACAGGTACTGCATCAATTCCACTTCTCCAACTTGTCTACCCTTGTCATTGGTTTCACATATCCATTTATTTTTAGCCCATGAGTGGGTTGATATTTACCAACGATTAGTATTTTTCACCGGACTTGAAATCAGGAACCAGCCAAGAGTCGTGTTCAATTAGCCTTGAGAATCAGGCTTGATGATTTCTTTGCCCAAGATTTACAGACACACACTAACAAAAAAAGAGCATCCTGGTCTGCAACTTCTCCAAGTCATATGTTTTCTAGGTCTTTCATGGTGTTATCAGGTGCTTTTTTCGTAAGCCTTTCAATTTTCCAAATATTTTTAGTGATTTTACTATGTTGTTTAGTGGTTTTGCCGTTTTACCTCTCCAAGTTTTCCCACAGTTATGGCTCTGCCTTTACCAGTTATAAGTACTTATGACCCCATTTATAGAATGTATAATCCCATTTGTAACCAGTTCTAACTAATTACAGTAATAGCCATAGCTGCAGGACTGTTGGCTGTGTTTTCCAGGCTGTGCGGCTGGTGACGGATGCCAATTGCATCCAAGCGGCGCAGGAAAAGGAGTGGCTGGGCGGCGCTGGTGACGATGAGCCATGGGAACTCTACTAATAATAGTGTTATGATAGTGTAACCCTATATAGTAGTAACTATACTAATAATAGAGCTAATAATAGGGTTACAATAGTAATATATATATAATATCTGTACATCATATCAATGTTGGTTAAACAATGCCATAAAAAGAATCCCAATTTCACCATTTTAATAGGTGGTATGGTTACCATTCCCAGTCATGGGTGGTTTATTATTTTTTTTTTCCCACATTATAGCTAATAGAAGCTAATAGGGTTATAGCTAACAATATAGTGTTATAATAGTATATATAATATCAATAAAGCCAATACTAGGGTTCCCGTCTGGATTAATATATTGTAGCTAATTTGTTTTCCGGTTCAGAATGGTATAGTGGGTGTATGACTATGGGAGAGCTGTGAGAAATTAATGTGTATGATACTAGATTATAATATGGCTAGTGGGGAGGTACAACCAGTGATTAATGGGTAAAACTATGGTATAATACAATATATGCCAATTACATAGGTATAACTATGGTCATAGTATTTAAAGGGTATAACTAGCCAATAGGATTCAGGGTTATAGTTGGGGGTGCAGTTGGAGTGAGTAAAACTAATTGTGGTATAACTATGGTAGTAACTGTAACCTCCATAAGTTGGGATGTTGGGCCCCTACAACTATGGTTTTAATTTCCACTTCGTGGAAACTAATCCCGAAGTAGGGTTCAATCATATGTGCTTAGGCGTTCTTAGCGTTTTTTCCCGAGAGCGTCTGAGCGCAGGGTTCTTCCAATAGTGGGGGTCTGTAAAACATCTTCTCATCTTCACATCCTCTCACCTTCACATCTTCTCATCTTCACATCTTCTCATCTTCGCATCTTCTTATCTTTACATCCTCTCATCTTCACATCCTCTCATCTTCACATCTTCTCATCTTCACATCTTCTCATCTTCACATCTTCTCATCTTCACACCCTCTCATCTTCACATCCTCTCATCTTCACATCCTCTCATCTTCACATCTTCTCATCTTCACATCTTCTCATCTTCACATCTTCTAATCTTCACATCTTCTCATCTTCACATCTTCTCATCCTCCCATCTTCTCCTCATCTTCTCATCTTCACATCTTCTCATCCTCCCATCTTCTCCTCATCTTCTCATCTTCACATCTTCTCACATCTTCTCACATCTTCTCACATCTTCTCACATCTTCTCACATCTTCTCATCTTTACATCTTCTCATCTTTACATCTTCTCATCTCACACCTTCTCCTCTTGCCCTCTTGCCCTCTCCTTCTTTTCTATTTCTCTCTTGAAGGCGGGAGCAGGGGCAGTGCCAACGAGACGGCACGAAACGCAACCCTTTCGCACGAAATGAGGTTCGATCGTCAAAAACTGAGGTAAAATTGCGATTTCAACTTGTCCGGCGCAACCCTTTCGCACGAAATGAGGTTCGATCGCCAAAAACTGAGGTAAAATTGCGATTTCGTGTTTCCGGCGCAACCCTTTCGCACGAAATGAGGTTCGATCGGCAAAAACTGAGGTAAAATTGCGATTTCAACTTGTCCCGCGCGACCATTTCGCACGTCCCTTTCGCACGAAATGAGGTTGGATCGCCAAAAACTGAAGTAAAATTGCGATGTGTAAAAGCGTCTGGGTGTAAAAGCGTCTGTGTGTAAAAGCGTCTGTGTGTAAAAGCTTCTGTGTGTAAAAGCTTCTGTGTGTAAAAGCGTCTTGCGTGTAAAAGTGTTTGTGTGTAAAACCCTCTGTGTGTAAAAGCGTCTGTGTGTAAAAGCGTCTGTGTGTAAAAGCGTCTGTGTGTAAAAGCTTCTGTGTGTAAAAGTGTTTGTGTGTAAAAGTCTCTGTGTGTAAAACCCTCTGTGTGTAAAAGCGTCTGTGTGTAAAAGCGTCTGTGTATGTCTGTGTGTAAAAGTCTCTGTGTGCAAAAGTGTTTGTGTGTAAAAGCGTCTGTGTGTAAAAGCTTCTGGGTGTAAACGTCTCTGTGTGTAAAAGTGTTTGCGTGTAAAAGTGTTTGTGTGTAAAAACGTCTGTGTGTAAAAGCGTCTGTGTGTAAAAGCGTGTGTGTAAAAGCTTCTGTGTGTAAAAGCGTCTGTGTGTAAAAGTCTCTGTGTGTAAAAGTGTTTGTGTGTAAAAGGGTCTGTGTGTAAAAGCGTCTGTGTGTAAAACCCTCTGTGTGTAAAAGCGTCTGTGTGTAAAAGCCTCTGTGTGTAAAAGCGTCTGTGTGTAAAAGCGTCTGTGTGTAAAAGCTTCTGTGTGTAAAAGCGTCTGTGTGTAAAAGTCTCTGTGTGTAAAAGTGTTTGTGTGTGTGTAAAAGCGTCTGTGTGTAAAAGCGTCTGTGTGTAAAGCGTCTGTGTGCAAAAGCGTCTGTCTGTAAAAAGTTCTGTGCGTGAAAAACTTTTTGAAAGATACGATGCAAAAGATACGATGCCATATAATATTGTCTTGATACTACTCTTCTCGTCTGCCTGTAATACATCTTTAATATATTGTCTTGTAATATAGTGTCGCCATACTAACAGCAGAAGAAGACTCTGCTCCTCTACGCTCTCGGGCCATCCGTCGTCTAGTTTTTTCAAAAGTATCCCTAATGTTTCAGTTATTGATTATTAGCTTTTAAGAGTAATTTAATGGTAAGATCAAGTAAATTAAACCATATATAATCGTCAAACTGTGAACCCACCGAATTTCCCATGACTTCCTAGACACACACACACATATATATATATATATATACGCATACACATGCGCATATATACATACGCGGATCCATGCATTTTTTTGAAATACATCCATGATTCCCAAATTTGAGCGTTCCCGGTTATGTCGGGGGGCTGGGGTTCTACACCACCTTGGGCCTTTGCCTGTTGCTTGAAGGCATCCTGGGACAAGCAAATGTCACAACATGTCACAGCCATTTCCAGTGATCATTTCCAGTGACCATCTCATAGGGCTTGTTTCCAGGCATCAGGCAGCAACAAATCCTAAGATAATCTAAGCCTAAATTTTGAACTGACCTATATACACCCGTCAGAGGACCCGGAGAAAAAAACACAAAAGCTACATGGAAAAACCTGTTTGACACCCTTTGCTCTCTGATTTTATATGTGTTCAGATGAGAAAGAGGGACTCATCCATACCATCAGTTTTGCCGGGGTCAGGGCATGTTCTTCCCCCAATACCAAAGCCCTTCACCAAGGTGTATTCGGGCTAAATCGCCATGATTGTTGGGAATTTATCCTGCGTTTGGAAACCACCAACCATGCCCGTTGTTCGAGAGTCAAAGCGCAATTTCCCAAAAGACCCACGGCTAAAATCAGATGGAAAACGTCTTGCAACGAGTTGATGAAACTGAACCACCACTGGTGGAACGCATCACTTCCCCGCGTACAAAAGGATAAACAAAACTCATTGAGGTACAGTCACCCAACCTATTGGAAACCCCGTAACGCTGAGGGCCAGACATTCTTTGAAATTTTGCATCCTCCGCGCGCCACAGCAACTTGGCATTCAAGCTTTTGGTTGCAAGAGGGAGCCAATGAGTTGGTTGGAAAATGGCGGGTTGTCCTGTTTTAGTTAGTCCCAATTATGGATTGGTTTTCCTGCATTAATTACTCTATTCTTCCTTAAATCATTTTTGTTTTCTTCTTAGAATTGGATTCTTCCAAGAAAATCTGATCTCTGAAGCTGGCTGGTGCAGATGGTTTTCAGATTGGGGGCAGCTCCCATGTTCCGTCATCCACTGAGAAGGCTGGTATGCGGTATGCACGTACCCACGCGCAGTGGGGTGTATCAAATTTGTCCCTAGGCCCTCCAGGTACTAGTACCTGAAAAAATTGGTAAGAGTCCCAGAATAATGGGTGTATCACCCCATTTGTTTAGATAACTTGCAGTATTCTGATCATGGTGTTGCTTCCTGTCCCATTATTGGATCATTCTTGCGTCCCCCGTTGTTTTTTTGTGTTGGGCAATGTCCAATCCGTTAAGGCAATCCCTGGATTCCATCATTGTGGATATAATTTTCATGTTGGTGAACTCCTGGGTCAGTGCTCTTCATTTTTGTTGGTGAAATTCTGATTTATTGTTATGCCATGGTTATACCATGGTTATGACACGTTATACCATGTTATCTTGCTATATCTAACCAACTACATCTTAGACTCCTATCTTGTTATGTCTAACCACCCTTTTGCAAATCTTAGACTCGGATGAAGAGCACATTTACAAGAATCACCCATGTTGAATGACAAAGCAACGTGTTGCTGAAACATATTCCTTGAACAAACTCATTGATGAAATCCTACATGGATTGGATTGTAGCATATCGTAGCCATAGACTTTGATTTTGACAGTAGCCTGCTTATGTTTTTTTTGATATTATAAGTGTGGGTTTAAACATGCATCCCATGCGAAATGTTTGACAGACTTCGCAGGATCAGCAAGCCGTCAAGATTGGTATGAACCTATCATAACGGTGATGTCCAAATATACCCCCAGTATATCCCCATCAAATCGGATCACATATCAATCATTTGAATTGTGTTTTATCACCAGTATATCCAATTATATCCCAATTTTTGTTGGATAACTCAAAAATTCCGGCTTGGTTCCAATGGTTTTTTTTTCACCCGTACCAGTCTTCCCAAGGTTCGAAGGTGAACTCTGCGCATCGCACTTCGTGTCACACGAGATGACGACGGATGCTGGGATCGCTTAATCCATCCGTTAAACATCAAGTTTTTTTGGGATTTTGAGGGAAATTGAGGAACATCACCAGGATTTTTGATACTAAACCCTCTGTTTTCTTAGTGTTTGTTTGGGATTTTGAGGGATTATGATGATTGATATGTTTGATCCGTGCGCAAATACTGCAAGTGAAGGATTAATATTTTTGACCGACACCCACATACTTTAGGCAAACCTGAAGGTATCCAAGGTTGGCCATGACCAAGGTGAACACATGCACACCAAAATATTCAGGACGCCCGCGTGAACAAATTAAGATAATTAAGAACTATATCGTACTATATCCAAACGGCTCACCAAACAACTCGGATGTGCACATCAGATCACATCAGTCCTGGTGAGTAAGTCCCTGTTTCGTGGGATGAGTAGCCAAGCAGTTCCTTGGTGTCGCCAAGGATGCTTTGGCAGCCAGGGTTATGGGCTCGTCATTGCCAATCCTCACGCAGATTTATGTGACTTTGGCGCACGTGCGGGCACATGTGTCCGCGCACAGATAGATGGATAGATGCATAGCCTGGATAGGTGGATAGATGGATGGATGGGTTGATAGATGAATGGATAGATTGATAGATGGGTAGGTGGATAGATGGATAAGGTAATGATTTCCGAATTTCATAATTTATATAACTGGTTGGTGGTTTGGAACGTGTTTTATTTTTCCATTCAGTCGAGAATAATAATCCCCAACTGACTTTCATATTTTTTGGGGGGGGTAGGTCAACCACCAACCAGTCATTTTTTTTTGGTGATGAAGAGACGCACAGGCCCCGCAGGCCCTGGCCCAGGTGGACTTACATGACTTCCACCCTTGGCTCTGCGACTGCCCCGCGGGGACCTTTGGTCCAAACGGCTCACATTGTCCCTTGGATGGCTGGCAAAGTGTGTGGATAGGCCATGCGAACTAATAGTTTTATAATTGTTAATGTGAACTAATGATAAGCCATCTTGGCTCTGATATTAACAGCTATAACTTAATGTTAAGTACTAGTGTTCGGACCATATTATAACCAACATTATTGGTAATTCTCACTTGGATCTTGGTTAATGGATTATAATTTCAATTTTATTTCGACTTTAGTCCAAGGGGTTCAAACAGTACGTTCTCACTGCCCTCACCAGTCACCAGACACTATGGGACAGCACTCACTGCGGAGATATTGTATCCCTTCTATTTCTGATACATGTCCATTGTTTGTCCTATGTCACATGGCTTTGGCAGCAATCAATCACGTTCATTTTTTCTTTGATAAATCCGAACTACTGGTTGGTTGAGTTGAAATCCTACTTGCAAATTGCCTATTGTACATATTTGCTGCTACGTGTTGCTCGAATTTCAAGCATGCGTTGGTTACATTAAACCTCAGTTTGATGGTACCCTTTTGGTGCTGGAAAAAAAACAAAAGCCATGCTCGCTGCTCAATCCACAATGCCGCCGCTTACTGTGAAACTCTTTGTCCTGGTCAAATGAGCTATGTTTTTCTAACGTAGTCCCAAGTTGTTTTCAGCCCAATCCGAATGACTTCGGAGATCTCAATCTTCAGCTCGACCCCGCAGTCTTGCGGACTGTTTGAGATTGAGATGTGTCAATCTTGTTCAAACCAACGTTTCAGCTTTACTCCAGCATCTCTGGCATTTCAATCGTTTATTTCCTGCGTAGCTAAGCTTTTTCTTCAGGTTATCTTAGCATATCCTTCCGCGCAGAAACGAGATGTCCGTGAAACGTCTCGTGTCAGGCGAGGTATGCCCACTGAACCACTACTGCCCAGCGGCTGGACGCTGGGCCCCGCTGGGTGGCTGGTGATTGGTGATGTATCACCTTATTGATATATCACAATCAATAAGGTGATAATCTATAGGGTGATACATCAATGTATATTATCTATAAGTAATATAAGTATCACATATTTTTTTAAATGTGATTGATATAGGTGATGATCTATACAGCGAAGTTTCTTTGTACCTAGGTGATTTTTTGTGGTTTATGATTTGTGATATATATATATATATATTGACCTGGTGAATGGAATTTATATTGCACAGCAACTAAGAAGTGAGACTCACCACATTGTAACAACCAGGTTTGCTGAGATGGTTTTGGAAGTCTCCGTTTTGAAGGGCAGACATCTCAACACCCCTTCTTCGCTGATTCCAAAGCAGATGTTCCTTTTCTCAATGAGTTGCATTGCAAGGTGACCATGGTTGGACATGCTTCATCATGCTTCTAGATGCCGCACGGGCTGCTCAGGAAACATGAGTGTGGCGATGAATCTTGGCTGCTCTGTTGTTCCAATTCTGCTTGGAAATTAGACTTTCAACTACTTTTTTTGATGTCAATCAGGTGTTGCTGCTGTATCTCGGACCCAAATTCTGTGATCAGCGCAAGCTTTCCTAGCCATTTACGTTGTTTTTTGCAATTCATTTTGGTTGATAATCCTGTTTTAATGAGCTGAGCAGCGCTTCCAACGTTGAGACAGCTGCTGGTTGCGCTGGAGCTTTGCCGGATCTCTTCAACGTTGGTCTTTGATAAGCTGGCTTTAAAGACCAGTTATAGATATCAAAACCCTCCAAGTACCTAGAAAAAGTGGATAATCATGGATAGTCTATCTACCGTGGGACTTTTTTACACGTCATTGTAGGTACTACTAGATAGATCAAGCCGTAGTCAACCTAACGCAGGTAACCTTGGCGTTTACACCAACTTAGCGGTCGCTTGGGGGTGCCTAGTGGATTATTGGTGGCCACCAAACCGACCAAAAATCCTTTTGTTTCGATGTGGTTTCACTTACCCTCTGCTAAACATACAAAAAGCTATAATGGCCATAGAAACAGTGGATTTACCCATTAAAAATGGTGATTTTCCATAGTTATGTTTGTTTACTAGAGGGTAGCTATGGTCTTTCCAAGTGTTTTTTCTCCCAGTTTTCATTCATACTTATTCATATTCATCATTGTTTATCACTTCTTTTACCCCCCCCAAAAAAATACTCATTAACAACGCATTACCATCCCAAACAAGGAACAGAAAAAGAGCAAAAACATGAACCAAACCATAGTTTCCTCATAGCATAGTGATAGCATAGTGTGAGAAGGTATAGTATATGGTATGCATAGTTATACCATAAAAAACATATCTAGTACATAGAGAACTATCATATGGTATATCTATGCCAACCCAGGCCATCTATTTATACCACAGTGTTTAGCATAAATATACCATATCACCATCCTTATTATATACCATGTTTGGTTGCCAACGGACCAACGGAGCACCCACAGGAACCAGGAGCCCAAGCCCTGCCCGCCCAACTCTGGCACTACCAGGGTAGGCCTTAGCAATGCGTCCTGGTGGCGATGGGGGGGCCACGGTTTCCATGGAAAAATCGTGGTTTTAACCATGGTAATATGATTGGTGGTTTGGAACATGAATTTTATTTTTCCATAGATTGGGAAGAATCATTCCAACTGACGAGCATATTTTTCAGAGGGGTTGAAACCACCAACCAGTTATAATATAGTACAAACCTACGCTAATGTAGTATAACTATGGTAACCTTTGGTAATATGGTAATATACCATATTAGGTAACCTATGGTAATATCGTCTAGCTATGGTAATAACTATGGTACAACTATAGTATATAATACCATAGGGTATTATATTAGTACTTGGGGGTAACTATGGTGTGACCATGGGGTTCTAACATCAATAGGTTGGGGGTATAACCTCTATTTCACTATTTGGAATCATAAGGACCTCATGTCGCGACGTCACTCGAAGGATGGTTAGATTGTGGGGAATCCCAACTGACCGCAAGTTTCAGGCTACATAGTGAAATATTGTTATATCAACCATATGTGGACCTGAAACAGACACTTATATCTGAAATATATTCACTGCATCTTAAAAAAAAACTATATCTAGTTATAATTGTGATATGGACCTCCATATATATAGTTATGGCCATTTATTGGTTATAACTAGTTATTTCAATGGGATTATACATTCTATAAATGGGGTTTTCGTAGTACTTCTAACTGGTAAAGGGCCATAACTGTAGACTATATCTCCAAGTACTGAAACCTACTGCTGCACTTTTGAGGTGCTGTGATTTTGCAAACTGGGAGGGTTCTCAGTGACCGAACTCGGGGGTAGTTCAGTAGATCAATGGTTCAAGCTCATTGATTTCCTTAAATAATCATTGTTATATATACATATATGATCATATATACAGATCCCGAAAAGCTTTATTCCCTTGAAAGTGTCATTTGCATTCTTATCGAAAAATATTTACTGCATATCTCAAAATGGTCAGTATGAAGTGCCATATTTTTGTTGGACATAATTGTAAGGCAACTCTATGTCAACTTCATTTGTTTCCTGCTAGGTTTGCGAGATTTGAAATTTGAATCTACCACGCTATGATCCCTCTACTATCAAACTTAAACTAAGTATGCTAAGAGCCAAAGGGTCTTGACACGGGGCCAACAGTCAACTCCGAAACAAAGGGTTTTAGGTCGTGTGGGGGTCATCCCAAACGCGAGGTTGACACTCAAGGAACTCCAGAACTCCACCTGAACGGAGGACTTAACTGCTGGATCTGAACTGAAGTCACTCAAATTCTCTGAGCGAAACTAATCAAAGTACATATAGTCATCCCAAAAAAGAGTGGGTCAGTGATTCACAATTTAAAATTTTAATGTGGCATTGTTCTCTCCCATCTCAGCCTGACGCTATGGAGTTAGGCTGGCCCCAAATGGTTTCCTGCCTGAGGTCTCGGAGTGTCAGTGCCTTCCCGGTTTCTTTGGTAACAGTTCGCACGCGCAGGCACCCTACAGCTGTTGCTGGCTTGTCCTTTCAGCAGATGTTTTTTTTTTAAATTTTGATGGTGAAGTTTTTCAGCATTAATGGTAAAACCTCAATGTTTCATGGCTTAGCATGGCTTAACCATACTTTGAGCGTATATCTGTGTGATGGTTGAACGTCAAATTTCAACAAGAACATGTCCCAATTTGTTTTATGATCAAATCTCCAAAGCTCCAAGGTCAGTTGTGTCCTGCTGCCTCCACTTCTGGCTACGGATCTTGGCACCTTGGGAAACCATGGGAAACGGGGATGGGTCAAGCTGGAAACCGGGCTGCGCAGAATTTGGGATGTTTGATGAATGGTTTTAGTGGCTTTGTGTTTTCCCATGATTTTTAGGTTATGATATGATCTATTTAAATCTATTTATATCTGTTGTTTGATGTTATTTAAGTGTGATTGTTTTGACTATGTTAGTGGTGAATCGCTTGGATCTTTTGAGGATTTTTTTTTTAGCGGCTGGAATTTCGGCTGGAATCCAAAATATGCACGATGTATCATGATGTGCATACGTCCGTTGAGTTTTAACCCAGGAATTGGAAACGAACCGGCAGGATCATTATTTTCCAAACCAACTTAATAGAACGCATTGAATGAACAGGTGCAGTGGGCATGAAAAGGGAGTCGTGCAGGCAACAGCATTTTCCAAGCCCATGTTTTTGTTTGTCTTTGCAACCGAATCTAGTTAGCAAGTGATGGCCGTGTTCTGAAGAGAAACATATTCTAGCAGAACCATTTTACAACGATGCATACCTACATACCTACATACCTACATACCTACATACCTACATACCTACATACTTACATACCTACATACCTACATACCTATATACCTACATACCGCTACATACCGCTACATACCGCTACATACCGCTACATACCGCTACATACCGCTACATACCGCTACATACCTACATACCGCTACATACCTACATACCTACCTACCTACCTACCTACCTGCATACATACATACATACATACATACATGTGATGTAACCTGTTTCAATCAACCTAGATATATACGGATTCTCTGTGGTTACTATAACGTCAGTGATGTCACAAAGGGGGCCATTGCCAAAGCTTTGGAGTACGATCCGCATTGTTTACACGGGCATGGTTGCGTAAATGATAGGAATATTATATTGTACTGTATCCATGTTGCGTTTATTGTTTCATATTATTTGACGGTGCCACACTTACAGTGATTGATCAGCCTGAACGAATTCTCTTGGCGTTGGCTCACCACCAGCCAGATCAGCGTTTCTTTCCAATGTGGTTCCACCTTCCAATTTCTCAATCTTCAATGTGGGATAGGGATATTCTCTCCATTCGTACATCCAATACTTTTTCTAACTGAGCAATCCGTGAGCTTGGTCAGGTACCCCATCCCAACAACCAGTTAGATCATCCAAAAACGTCCAAAACCGTCGTCGCCAAGGCAGTGTCACAGCTGTTTCTTTGGATATCGCCCCACTGGCGTTGGCAAAGGCAGCCACGGCGATTGCATGTTCGACTGGTTCCTTGAGACGTGCCTGCCTGGGAGACCTCGGCCCACATGGAAGTCTGAATGGGAAAGCATGGACATTTTAAGTGAAAGTATGTGTGGGACTGACTATTTTGGACTAGTTTCATCTATATATTTTCTATAGAAATGAAGGTCTTAATGGGAACATGATTTATAATTAATTGGTGGATGTTAATTGGGACCTAATGGGACTGTTAACCAACACCAATAAGGATTTTCAACTGGGATTGACATGCTAGGAATACAACGCGACAACGCTAGGATACGCAAAAATGGTTGCAGTTTGCTATGGATTTTCCGGTCCATTTAGTTTGATGATTTACAAGAGGCATGTGAGCCCACCCGAGAGTAAGATGATCAGCGGTCAGTTGAGACAAATCGGAGGTACAAGTGCTCGGGTTAAGTCGTATCAGCTTCTAAAAGTCGTATCGGGAGGCCGTGCGCCTGGAAAAAGTTCAAGTTTGGCATCACCACAACTTTTAGTAATTGAAAGATTTCATTGTTTTGGGGCCGTGCGCCTGGAAAAAGTTTATGTTCTTTTTTTTGTATTGCGTTGATTTTTAAAACTTAACTTATATATGTGATCATTCTTTCAAGGGGGCAAACGCTGGTTGCTGCTTGCTTGCTGCTCGCTTGTTGCTTGCTTGCCTGCTTGCTTGCCGCTGCTTCTTGCCTGCTGCTTGCCTGCTTGCTTGCCCGCTGCTTGCCTGCTGCTTGCTGCTTGCTTGCTGCTGCCGAGGATTAGCTGCCGAGAATTTGTTTGTACTAACTTGTGCCCTTCAAAATCATCGCTGTGCGCAATGCTTCGGCTACTTTTAACTAAATCTCTTATTATATTGCGACCCCCTGGCACTTAGAATTCGTAAATCATGGTGACTATCACTTAGAATTGTGTCTCGGTGATACCTGGGGAGTGCACTTAGAATTGCCGGCAGTGATGTCAAAATAATGCACTTAGAATTAGAAGGCCATGTCATAACCAAGCACTTAGAATTGTATCAACTCCTGGTGGTACCCACAAATCATCCATTTTTCGAGGATTTTCCACTGTAAACCATCCATTTTGGGGTACCCCTCATTTATACATATATTGTTTCCCCCTGGCTCAGTGCTTCCCCCTGTTGGTGTTTCTGTTGATGGACTGCTGGTGCAGATTCATGTGGAGGTGCCTGCTCTGGCAGGTCTGGATGCTGTTTCTGCAATTCTATGTGCTGCTTGTCTTGTTCCTGCGCATTTAAATTGCAGTTGGTGCCGGTTCCTGCTTTGGGTTTGGTTCGGGCCGTGGGGTATGAGCAGCATCTGCTGTTGCTTCTGCTGTTTCTGCTGCTGTTTCTGTTGAAGGGCTGCTGATGCAATTTCATGTGGAGGTGCCTGCTCTGGCAGGTCTAGATGCTGTTTCTGCAATTCTATGTGCTGCTTGTCTTGTTCCTGTGCATTTAAATTGCAGTTGGTGCCGGTTCCTGCTTTGGGTTTGGTTCGGGCCGTGGGGTATGAGCAGCATGTGCTGTTCCGTCTGCTGCTGTTTCTGCTGCTGTTTCTGTTGAAGGGCTGCTGATGCAATTTCATGTGGAGGTGCCTGCCCTGGCAGGTCTAGATGCTGTTTCTGCAATTCTATGTGCTGCTTGTCTTGCTCCTGCGCATTTAAGTTGCAGTTGGTGCCGGTTCCTGCTTTGGGTTTCGTTCGGGCCGTGGGGTGTGAGCAGCATCTGCTGTTGCGTCTTGTTTTGCTTCTGCTGCTGTTTCTGCTGGAGGGCTGCTGACGTAATTTCATGTGGAGGCCCCTGCTCTGCCAGTTCTGGCTGCTGCTTCTGCAATTCTATGTGCTGCTTGTCTTGTTCCTGTGCATTCAAATTGCAGCTGGTACCGGTTCCTGCTTTTGGTTTGGTTCGGGCTCTGGAGCATGAGCAGCATCTGCTGTTCCGTCTGCTGCTGTTTCTGCTGCTGTTTCTGTTGAAGGGCTGCTGATGCAATTTTGTGGAGGTGCCTGCTCTGGCAGGTCTAGATGCTGTTTCTGCAATTCTATGTGCTGCTTGCCTTGTTCCTGTGCATTTAAATTGCAGTTGGTGCCGGTCCCTGCTTTGGGTTCGGTGCGGGCTCTTGGGTATGAGCATGTATGAGCAGCATCTGCTGTTGCTTCTGCTGTTCTTTCTGCTGTTTTTTCTGTTAAGGGCTGCTGATGCAATTTCATGTGGAGGTGCTTGCTCTGCCATTTGTGGATGCTGCTTCTGCAATTCTATGTGCTGCTTGTCTTGCTCCTGCGCATTTAAGTTGCAGTTGGTGCCAGTTCCTGCTTTGGGTTTCGTTCGGGCCGTGGGGTGTGAGCACCATTTGCTGTTGCGTCTTGTTTTGCTTCTGCTGCTGTTTCTGCTGGAGGGCTGCTGACGTAATTTCATGTGGAGGCGCCTGCTCTGCCAGTTCTGGCTGCTGCTTCTGCAATTCTATGTGCTGCTTGTCTTGTTCCTGTGCATTCAAATTGCAGCTGGTACCGGTTCCTGCTTTTGGTTTGGTTCGGGCTCTGGAGCATGAGCAGCATCTGCTGTTCCGTCTGCTGCTGTTTCTGCTGCTGTTTCTGTTGAAGGGCTGCTGATGCAATTTCATGTGGAGGTGCTTGCTCTGCCATTTGTGGATGCTGTTTCTGCAATTCTATGTGCTGCTTGTCTTGTTCCTGTGCATTCAAATTGCAGTTGGTGCCGGTTCCTGCTTTTTGTTTGGTTCGGGCTCTGGAGCATGAGCAGCATCTGCTGTTCCGTCTGCTGCTGTTTCTGCTGCTGTTTCTGTTGAAGGGCTGCTGATGCAATTTCATGTGGAGGTGCCTGCTCTGGCAGGTCTAGATGCTGTTTCTGCAATTCTATGTGCTGCTTGCCTTGTTCCTGTGCATTTAAACTGCAGTTGGTGCCGGTTCCTGCTTTGGGTTTGGTTTGGGCCGTGGGGTATGAGCAGCATCTGCTGTTGCGTCTTGTTTTGCTTCTGCTGCTGTTTCTGCTGGAGGGCTGCTGACGTAATTTCATGTGGAGGCGCCTGCTCTGCCAGTTCTGGCTGCTGCTTCTGCAATTCTATGTGCTGCTTGTCTTGTTCCTGTGCATTCAAATTGCAGTTGGTGCCTGTTCCTGCTTTTGGTTTGGTTCGGGCTCTGGAGCATGAGCAGCATCTGCTGTTCCGTCTGCTGCTGTTTCTGTTGAAGGGCTGCTGATGCAATTTCATGTGGAGGGAGGCGCCTGCTCTGGCAGGTCTAGATGCTGTTTCTGCAATTCTATGTGCTGCTTGCCTTGTTCCTGCGCATTCAAATTGCAGTTGGTGCCGGTTCCTGCTTTGAGTTCGGTGCGGGCTCTGGGGTATGAGCATGTATGAGCAGCCTCTGCTGTTGCTTCTGCTGTTCTTTCTGCTGTTTTTTCTGTTAAGGGCTGCTGATGCAATTTCATGTGGAGGTGCTTGCTCTGCCATTTGTGGATGCTGCTTCTGCAATTCTATGTGCTGCTTGTCTTGCTCCTGCGCATTTAAGTTGCGGTTGGTGCCAGTTCCTGCTTTGGGTTTCGTTCGGGCCGTGGGGTGTGAGAAGCATCTGCTGTTGCGTCTTGTTTTGCTTCTGCTGCTGTTTCTGCTGGAGGGCTGCTGATGCAATTTCATGTGGAGGTGCCTGCTCTGGCAGGTCTAGATGCTGCTTCTGCAATTCTATGTGCTGCTTGCCTTGTTCCTGTGCATTTAAACTGCAGTTGGTGCCGGTTTCTGCTTTGGGTTTGGTTTGGGCCGTGGGGTATGAGCAGCATCTGCAGTGTCTTCTGCTGTTCTTTCTGCTGTTTTTTCTGTTAAGGGCTGCTGATGCAATTTCATGTGGAGGTGCTTGCTCTGCCATTTGTGGATGCTGTTTCTGCAATTCTATGTGCTGCTTGTCTTGTTCCTGCGCATTGAAATTGCAGTTGGTGCCGGTTCCTGCTTTGGGTTTTGGTGCGGGTTCTGGTGTATGAGCAGCATCTGCTGTTGCGTCTGCTGTTGCTTCCTTCTGCTCTTCCTTCTGCTGCGGTTTCTGTTGAAGGGCTGCTGATGCAATTTCATGTGGAGGCGCCTGCTCTGCCAGTTGTGGAAAGGGGGGCCGATGGGAAACTAATTCTAACTGCATCACCATTGTATCCGGGCGGCTTTACAACCATTAAAGAAAATATGGGCACATTTTTTCGTACCCTGTCGTTAAGGATCGCCATGCCATTCAGGCAACCCTGCGATCTCTTAAACCCCACAAGCTGCAGCGTCAATACTGTGGTATATATGGATGTTTGGATGGATCTGCTCGTTTTTTCAAAACATTTCAAAGCATTTCTCATCCATCATACATCGCCCATCAAATTTATGTATATACATTGGGTGTTTCCCTTGGAAAATGGTGGCAGTGATAGATATTTATGTATATACAAGTATATATATATATATATACCAGTAGTACCGCACAAGGCGGTGGCGGAAGTTTCAAAAATAGGAAACCTATAGGAGAGCTTGGTTGTTGTGAATCCGGGATGGCAGAGCGAAGCCACTGATGGACTGAAAGGTGCTTGATCTCTCTCACTCTTTCTCTCTCTTTCTCTGACTATCTACCTACCTACCTATCTATTTTCTATGTATCTATCTATCTATCGATCTTTCTAGTGTAGTTTAATGTAGTGTAGTGTAATTTAGTGTAGCGGTGTGTAACTGTGGAGTGTAGTGGAGTGTAGCTGTGTAGTTCTGTAGTTGTAGTTGTAGTGTTGTGGAGTGTAGTGTAGTGTAATGTACTGTAGTGTGTGGAGTGTATAGTGTAGTGTAGTGACCCGAAGCGAAGCGAAGCGACATCTGAACCTCCAAAAGTGGTCCGAACCCCTAGTGTTTTGTACATTTTGACTTCGAAATGTGCTTCGCGCCACAACGGCGTGCACTTTTTCGAGATCTGAACTTCCAAAAGTGGCGCGAACATGTGCTGTTTTGTACATTTTGACTTCGAAATGTGCTTCGCGCCACAACGGCGTGCACTCTTTCGACATCTCAACTTCCAAAAGTGGTCCGAACCCCTAGTGTTTTGTACATTTTGACTTGGAAATGTGCTTCGCGTCACAACCGCGTACACTTTTTCGACATCTCAACTTCCAAAAGTGGTCTGAACCTGGTGTGTTTTGTACATTTTGACTTCGAAATGTGCTTCGCGCCACAACGGCGTGCACTTTTTCGACATCTCAACTTCCAAAAGTGGTCCGAACCCCTCAGTTTTTAACACATTTTACTTCCAAATGTGCTTCGCGCCACAACGGCAACTTTTCATTTCTCATCTCCCCAGATGTCTCCGCACCCGCCGCTTTAGCGAGCCTACTTTTCAACCATCCGGAGCCACAAAACCACGAAAAAACACAGTGTTTCGCTACTTTCCTACCTTTTCGCGCACCTGCATCTTCTTTCTTCTGATCTTTTCTCTTCTGACTCTTCTCCCTGCTGACTGCTTTTTCATCTCTCCATATTGTCGGAAGTTTGGCTTCCAAACTTCCTTCGAATATATATATATATATTTATATATATATATATATATATCCCCCCCCTTTAACCCTGGAATATTTGGGGGGGGGGTAAGGCAAGAAATTTTTGAGAAATATTTCACCTGACCACGTGAAATATACCCCCCCCACGTATTTTTTTGGGCTTCTAAAAGACGTGGGGGGGGGTTCCTCCGGACGCTGTTCCTTTTTGGACCTTTTTAGTCCTCACGCGGGTAGGGCCCATGCGCAAACACTGACAACTAGGTAAATGGCAACTGCCGGTTTCCAAGAAAGTAAATAAGAGAGTGAACTTGCCAAACAGCCTTCAGAACATGACGTTCAGCCTTGAATTCAACCACGCCCAAGCCATTATAGACCAGATTTTTTTAGCTGAAATATTTCACTTTAGGGAGGTGAAATATTTCTAGGTGTGTGGGGGGGGGAGACCCCCCCTAAAGTGAAATATTTCAGTTTTTACCCCCCCCCCCCCCCCCCTTAAAGGGGGGGGATATATATATATATATATATATTATATATATATATATATATATTTATATTGTAATCAACGTATCACACATGAATATATACAACACATATACATATATCAAAACAATTCTATGTGTAAAACAATTCTATCTGTCAAAAAAATGTATAAACAATTCTAAGCCGCCTTTTTCCCTAGCACTTAGAATTTGCCTATAGTAGCGAGCAAAAAACCGCTAATAATAATTCTATTTGCTGGGGGGCCGCTATAGGTGAAACAGGCTGTGGCATGGTGATTTTTCTTCCCTGGTGTGACTTTCCACTACCTGATGTGACTTTCTGTACCGCCACCGTGCCATGGGGATGATGTGACTTTTCCCGCCTGATGTGACTTAAGCACGGCGCTCGTATCTGCCATTTGAGCCTTACCCTATATATGATATATATATATAAGGTTTAGGTAGGGTTTGTGCAAACACAAACATATTGATTATTTACTGTTGTGGTACAGTACAGTACAGTACTTCCGGTTTATAGAGCCGGGCCATTGAGATGACGACCCATGTGCGTAGGTGACTCGTTGTCGTTGTTGTTGTTGTTGTTGTTGTTGTTGCTGCTGCTGTTGTTGTTGTTGTTCCTTGTTGTTCCTTGTTGTTCCTTGTTGTTCCTTGTTGTTCCTTGTTGTTCCTTGTTGTTGTTGGATCCAATTGAAGTTCACCCGTGGCAGCAAAGGTTTGGCGTTGGCTTCTTCATAGTCTCTTGGTTCCAAATTTCATCGCGAAATTTTGGAAGCGTTGCCTCAAGGGTCCTCCCGAATTTTCTTGTCAATGCAATCGATAGTGGTAGATCAAAACCCCTGGCCATGTTAAGTTTGTTTATTTCACACTGATCGGGTAGTTTGTGAAACAGGTTTAACCATCTTAGATAGTCTTATTAAAAACGTGTTTATCAATGTGTTCCCTTACTGCGCTTGCAGTGCAAACATGATTAGACTCCCCTTCTCACAGAGCCCAATTTGGTGCCTGGGTTCCGGGTGGATTGTTTCAACTTTCCACTGCCATGAATGAAAAGTATATGTTCATCAAAATGTGAAGGGGATTGTCTTGGTATTTGCGATGATTTACTATGCATGGTTCAAAGATGAAGGGACTTCCATGGATGTTTTCTAGCGCTATGTGAGATTGTCGCAGGGGATGATTCACATTTGTAAGGGTCTTAGCAGACAGCTTGCGGCGGACCAGGCTACTGATGGATGCTAAAGGGTTTACGGTGGGGTATACCGAACATGGCTGGTGATTTCAATTCATCAGACAACAGCCTGGCTGGAAGCGTCCAGTATTGTTGGTTCTCCACGCCTTTCTGGCATGATGATTGCGAAGTAACTTGTATTTTCTTGGGTCGGAAGGGGCGACAGTTGATGTGGGGAGATCCTAAGGTGTTGCAGATCGCGATGATTCAGCTGGGTTTGATGTTGCTTGGCTCGAAACTGGCTGTTGAAGAATTTAGGGCAAAGCAACCTTGAAACATATGTCCATCAGACAGGTAGAAATGAACCACTTCAAGTCGAGGTTTGAGGTTTACAAGTTAAGACAAGTAGTTTATACCCACCACATGATGATTTTCAAATGTCCCATTCATATCCACCGTTTCTTTAAAAAAACTATGGGCATGATGAGTAGCCGGCTGATTTTTGCAGTCCCATCTCCGGTGAAGCTAGCCCTGGGGAATATTCAATGAGTATCAATGGGTGGCGTTCAGGCATATACGTAGATTTTAATTAAGTGGAGGCTTTAGGGTTTTAACTGGTGATACATGAATTTATAATATTTTTTATGGATGTTGCATGGTTTTGCCACCTGTATCTTGCCACCAATCCCACTTTTTTTTTAAGTATTTTGGTAGATTAAAACCAAGACCAGCAAGTTCAGGCGATTCGGCCGCAGGTATTGGCTCCTGGTGACTGGTTTGCCCATCAACGATGTGTCGAAACAAAACGGACGCTGGGTCGTCTCCACCTGCGGGTGGTGCCTTGGTGCATGACTGGTTCACCTTCATGGGCTTATTGATGGGGATTTAACGTGACAAAAAAACATGGAATTGAACTTGGTCTGATTTTATGGGTTTTGTATGGTTTATCGGCATTAATTATCCAGTGAGGGAGGGAGCGCCTTGCAGAGCTCCGAATTAAGTGTCACCACATGATAGCATTTTTCTGTTTATTTATTGTTTTATTTTTTTTATTTATATATTCATGTGTTTTTGCCCTACCCTACCTCGGATGATGGGGTTGCTTAATGTGATTGTTGATTTTTCACTGACGTATCCACCGTATCCACTATTTGCATCCGCTTGCGGGTTCCATAGGATATGTTGTTCCCTACTGGGGCAAACTCTGAGCTTCCAAGACCAGCCAAAATGTAAGTGTCATTCATTGGTGGTTTTTTGAAACCCGTATATCTATATATATAGTATACACACACACCAACACCCTTTTTATAGTGATCTTATGCACACCTGGTCTCACTAGATAAACTGTAATCCAATCCCAAATGACCCTTAGAAAGAACCTAAACCAACACCAGAAACGAACTATTTGCACCCAACACGACTGTGCTTCGACCTGCATTCCAACAACACACAATGAGATATATATTGAACCTACAGCATTACATTTGAAAAGAGTTGTTGTTATTTTTGCGCTGTTAGGCCCTTAAATGACATCTTAAGGAAACATAAAGCGGCATCCTAAAGAAACCCTCAATGAAACCCTCAAGAAACCCTAAAGATACCTTTAATGACATCCTCAAGAAACCCAAAACAACACCTTAAAGAAACCCTAAAGATATCCTAAATGACATCTTAAAGAAACCCTAAATGACATCCTAAAGAAACCATAAATGAAACCCTAAAGAAACCCTAAATGAACCCCCAAAGAAACCCTTAATGAACCCCCAAAGAAACCCTAAATGAACCCCCAAAGAAACCCTAAATGAACCCCCAAAGAACCCCTAAATGAACCACCAAAGAAACCCTAAAGGAACCCTAAATGAAACCCTAAATGAAACCGTAAAGAAGCCCTAAAGAAACCCACATGATATGAACCTTTGAAGTGCCAACATGTAGCACATATCATGCAAATGGGAGGTTGAAGTGCCAAAATGTGGCAAATACCGTGCAAAATGGAAGGCAAACATTGCAACAAATGTAGCAAATACTATGCAAAATGGAAGGTGGCCCTGCCAAAATGTAGCAAATACCATGCAAAATGGAAGGTGGCCATGCCAAAATGTCGCAAATACCATGCAACATGACAGGTGCTAGCTCCAAACTGTTGCAAATACAAGGCAAAGAAATCAAAAAAACAAACCTGACCCCCCCGCAAAAAAGCGATTCTTCACCCTATATATGTGAAAAAGAAACGACACTTAGTTGCTGGTGAGATGAGCATCGAACCAAACGGGGAAAGCCTGTTTTGCCATGGACTACTGTATTGGCCCAGGTTATTTTTACAATGAACCAATCACATCTACAAACTATATAAGATTATATACTATGCTGCTTATAGATAAAGTGAGGCCTAAAAAAGACAGAACAGGCTCATTTCGCCTTTATAAGTAATGTGCAACTATTTTAGTAGGATTTCGTTTTTTTGGTTTGTCTCTGGGTGTGACCTATGCCTATCCCTATGACGAATGTGGTAAACCCGATGAAATAAACAATCTCCAGATTGTGGCGCATTGTTTTTTCCAAGTTTGTTTCTATATTCCATTGTATCCCGCCACTATTCCATCAAGTTGCTGGTTTATGTTTCCACTGGGTTTAATGCATTGTAGGAAACCACCATTGAACCAGCACTAAATCAACACTAAATCATACTAGGTCACCCTGTTTGTAGCATCACCATTGATTCCATGTCACCTTGTCATGTGCCTTGGTTTCTGCCATTCAGCCACCAGGCAGGCATTGTGGCTTTTGCCTTGCTTGAAGAAGGCCGGGAGGGAAGACAGGCGGCTGGAACTCATGGAATACCCTGGCTGGCAAATGGATGTTCATCCCCACCATTTTTTTCGAGGGTTTTGATGCCCAGATGATTTGGTATAGTTTGATTTGGTTTAGGTTGGTTCAATGATGATTTATTGCTCGAATGCGAATTTTACGTGCTTTCTTAATATTATTTAATTTGTGTTGATATGATTTTAGCATTCAACCACATGATTCTAACCCCTCGTCGCCCAAATTGGGAAAGTTAACGCATGCCACCCAAATATCGTACTCCACATACCTGAGCGGGAACGCACTTCACAAGTTTAACACACTCCGCAAGTTTAACTCACTCCGCAAAGGTAGCACATACCATGCAAACTTCGTACTCCACAACACTCCACATACAGTGGCTCTAAGCTATCTACAGGGAGAACGCACACCTGAACTTCATCGCCTATCATGGCAGTGCCTGGACAATACCCTTAAACTTGAAATAGGCATGCTCAATCCACATTCCTGTGTGGGAACGCACTCCACGAAGTTAACGCATACCGTGCAAACATCGTACTCCACATAGTGAGTTCAGGTTACTTACAGGGGTAACGCATACCGATGCTTCATCGCATACCATAGGAGGCACCAATACCACCAATATACCGCCTTTCAGGGTGGTTCAACCATTTTGGCTTGGAGTATGGCCAGCCTTGGAGTATGGGTAAGATTCTGGTAGAATGATGCACCATGTAACATCATGTAACCCTACATGGGTATAGATGCCATAGAAATTGTTGATCCTTCAAGGGTCCCGATAGTTTTCCATTAATTGCTGGTAGCTGGGGCAGCTTGAGTCCAGGTAAACCGATGGATAGGTTGTAGGTTTAGCCAGGCTTTCTTTTCAGTTGATTTTTCTTGGTGGGATCGTCCATTCCGAGTGTATGCAGCAGAGAAGTGGGATTGATTGGGCAACTGCAGTATACAATCCCATCGTTTTAGGGACCTAGTTTGGCTATAGTGGTTAATACCCATATCCGATATGCATGGGTTTGTTAATGGGTCCGACATGCATGGGTTTGTTAATGGGGTATACCTGCTCCAAAATGGCAACGTGATAAGTTTCAACGGCGATGATCAATCATCACATTTCAGGGTACCCTATTTTGAAACAAACCTCTGGGCACTTCGAGGGATCTATCTGTCACCTACCCCGAGTGCTTACATTTGTGCTGGAGGAGTATAGTACCAGTAAGAGTCACGCCCCAAAAAAAACATCCGAAAACTTTGAATCCAACATCCAAAGCGCAGCCCCAACCTAGCCGACCTTTGCGAAGGGGATGTGGTTGCGGAACGTTCCCGGGTTCCTCGACCTCCTGCCAACCGTAAAGGTTTATGAAGAGCCCTTGAAAGGAGCATGCCCCCACACCAATATGTTTAAGTAAATCTAAGACAAGTCATCAAACATGGCATTGTTAAATCCGCTGTAAATGGAGGTTTCAATTGGAACATGATCTATACATATAACGGTGGATGTTCCATTGCCATGTTTGATTATCGGAGGGTAGCTGTAGCTGTGTTCTTGCTTGGGGGATCTCAGGCGTATAGCGTTTCCTTCCGCAAGACTGGAAATCCTGGACTGGATAAACACCTGTGGGATGCTCGGCCAGTCGCAGGATTTTGTGGAAACATGGTTTTCTTTTTTTTTGGATGACGCCCAAGCCCCATGTTTCATATGAACTTATGTCCTACAAAAGACTATATTCGTAGAATATTTACATATCATTCCATATCAATTTTTATACACATCACACACACACATATATATATATATCATATATGATATACATATATATATAAGTGCGTGTTTCATGCAATATATGTGTTTTCCCTATACCGGATAGATCCCCTAGCAATAGATGGGTTACCAATTTGGCTCCCTCAGCAACGCTTCGTTTTTCTCACGTCAGGACGTGCAAACCATCGTCGGCATCGGGCAGCGCTTCGTTCTCCTGGGACAGGTGGAGGCACAGCAACGACTGGGATATGAATGTTTCAAATGGGATATGATGGGAGAATAAAGGGAAAATACTGGGATCATACTATTTGGGAACTTAATATTTAATGAAATAGGTTTGCTATGGAAAACGATGCAATCAGGGTGGATTTACCTGGTAAGAATGGTGATTTTCCATAGCAAACTGTTTAAATTAGCAAGAGATTACCAGACATTAAATGTGATCTATAATTCACCGAAACATTGGCAACAATGGGGGGTAACGCGGATTTACCACCATTTTTTTTTTAATGGGGATGATTTAACCGGGACAGGTCGCTCCCAAGCCGTCTCGCTTCGTATGGGTCATGTCACAAATGTCAAGTGGAAAAGAAGAAATTGGGTTTTTCACTGAATACTTAATACTGAAATCTACTGAATGACTTGTCAATCATGGTGGTGTCCCCCTTTTTGGCGGAGACATATCATGATATCATCTGCAAGTACAAGGCTGCTCCAGCCTGATCAATTCATTGCCACAAGGGGAAAACAACTGGTGGTTTTGCAGTTTTTTTTGGGGGGGGGGTGCTGGAAATAGCAACCCTCAAAAGGACAATGGCATGCTCGCAGAAAGCGGTTGGAAGCTGAAGTCAGCGTCGACCGGGATGACGGCTCTGGAGCATAGCCGGCAGACGTTGCTGGTCAACGCACAGGTTTTGCAATGTCCTCTTTATTGGTATCGAATCCTAAAGTGTTTTTTCATCATGGTATCACACTTTTTGGCAATATGTCCCCTGTATGCCAGCCGCAATGGCGATGATACAATGGCAATATAGAGGATGTTATAAAGGGACAGTGAAGGACGGTGGTCATATATTCCAATTTTTTGTGGACACTGTGGATGTAGAGAAACTGGGGTACACTTGGTACAATCCCGCTACACTTACCACTAATCTACCAGCCAGCTTTTAGATCCTGGTGAGCACCATAGGCAGTGTGACGATGGTATTTACACTGGTACCCATGGAAAATTATGGAAGGAGGTGGAAGTTGTAGGTAAACCATCTACACATGGCGAATTTTCATGAATTTTCCATGGCTAAGTCAAACTGCCAGAAGCTAATTTGTTCACAGCCACCCACTAAGCAGATTTGGATTCTTACAGATGGCTCTTCATCCCTTCAAGTTTCAGAATGTTCCTGGGGGCGTTGTCAGCCATACCATCAGCTGTGGGGGCACCTGCAATCACCCAGAATGGTCGATTTCAGAAATCGCGATCAGAATTGCAATTGTTCTTTGGTTTCCTAAAATAGGGATACCCCCAAATCATCCATTTTAGTGGGATCTTGAATTGTAAACCATCCAGCTATTGAGGTACCCCCATTTTAGAAACCCCCATATGCTTGAACAAACAAACTCGGTGTTTTCAGGAACCCACATTTGCTCGGAAACTTGCCAAATCATCCCATTCCCCTAATATAGTGCAATGTTTCAATATGACCGTTTCAGGAACGTAAAATGGCGGTACCTACAATAGCCCTACCATATACAAGGCCTATGTAAGTGCTATGTGAGGGAATATCCTCACAAAATATGGCCAACAATATACACCAATATAGGGAGCCTCTATTTTAGGGTCGTGAAATTCCCATTGAATATTGGGGGTGCGGGATGGGATGGGATTAAAAAAATGAGGATTGAACCACCAATGGAGACCCAGGTTGGAAAGTGGTGACTTGGTGGTTGACCATTCCAGCACACTGAGTCTAGTGTCTTGGCTCGTGATCTTTCCTCACGGTGCGACAGAAACGTTTTCAGTAAGAACAATTGGAATTGAACGACTGCTTTTTTGTTTAGAATAGTAATTGTTATTTCCGTCGCAATGGGTTAAGACATGTAAATGTAAATGTATTTATTTAATGATATATCATTTAATGGGATAATGGAATAAAATCCGCGTAAATTATAACGAGCCTCACAGTTCTCCCGAACCCTGCAATGATGGTTGGGATTGGAGTAACGAATTTTCCCAAATAAACCGAACTTTTCGGATCAGTGATTTTTAAATAATTTGCCCAGAATCATGGTAATTGAAGCATCGAAAATCCAATGTGAAGCTTCAATATGCAACGAACAAAAACAAACAAAATATATATATATAGAAACGACATCATTCATGGTGATTTTTGTACCAAAAAAATCCGACATGTGAAGCTGGCAACGAAGGAAAAAACACCATGGTTTCGCATGATCATCCCAAGAATCTGTCGCCACGACCCAGGACACGTCACAGGGATTTTTGCACTTCCGGAGCTGTTGGGTCTTACTTTGTGTTGGAAGGAGCGAGCCAGCCGTTCAGCTTGGTTCCACAGGGTTTCAGACCTTCTTGATACACGGCAGGTTCTATCAATGTCTGAAACTTGCAGCGATTCGCGGACACAACGGTGCTCACAACTGTCTTCAAAACAACCTGCTAAATCTTTTTGAAGGGTTGGATTCAAGATCGTCCAGAGCACGGCTGAGTTCTGGAATGGGCTAGCCAAAAGGACGAAAAAACACCTGGATGAACATGGCGAAGATGTAACGCAAATCCCAACCATCTGCTTGTCACCTTGCACCTCGCAGGATCCCTGAGGGGTTCAAACTGCTGGTCTTGCTGCTGCTCCCATGGCCCTTATGGCTCAAGGCGCCGGTTGTTGATGACTTTGGGATTTCATGAGCCAAACGGTCACATTTTTAAGGATCGTCAATTGATCCACTTGGCTACGATTATGACCATGTCATCAACACATGTTCACTGGTGACATATAGGTAAAGTCCCATGATTGTTGGATATATCCTGATCACTATGTAAATAAGCATTGTTTAACTATGACCACTCGAATCCACCTTCTTCGTGCCTGCATGAAGTCTGGTATTGTTGATATCCCAGGTGATCAGAGTCTTTTCGTAGCAAAAAAGACTTAATTACCTTAATTTTTAGCCGTTACACCACAACCTTTGGTGAAATCACAATTCTTTGGTTCGCTGAAAGTGTGTGTTTTTTTAATATTCCCAATGGGAAATCGTTGCGGGTTCCATCTCCTGAAATCTCCTGTAAGGCCTTCCACCAAAAGGATTGGCTGGTGCTTGGTGTTGCAATTAGCTGCTTGGTGGCCGAGGATTCTGGGGAGGATTCTGGACGTTCATTTGCCATCCAAAATCATGTGATAAACCCAATGGTAAACAATGTGTTGTAATCAATCCCCTAATTGTCCCATGTTTCTAGTGTGATCTGGTGGTGGCATTCGAAACTATATATATATAAGTTTATATATATATATATATATATGCATGCATATATCATATACCCCAAGGTGTTGACTGTTGGGTTTGCCATATTGTTCATGGGTTCACACTTGAGAAATGCCTTTGCTGTTCCTCACTTTGATCAGCCCATCATGCCATGCCCCAGTAGCATCTAAAACTTTCTGGAATTATGCTTAAGGTATAGCGCGTGTTTAGCAAGTAGTTGATAGTAGTAATATTATGTAACATGTAAGCGTGCTCATTGTTATACCATGTTATACCATCTCCCTTTTTTGGGGGGGACTTAATCCAAGTGACCATGAATCTGGGTAGATAATAGCGACCTCACTGGCCATCACCTGGCACGGAAACTGGAAAATCAATGAACATCATTTAAACGAGGTATTTCAGTGTATATATAATGTATATAATATATATATTTACCCTATTGCAAATGTGTTCAATATACCACCACTATTGAAGGGATGGCGACTAGCCAGATTTCTCGATAGGCACAGCCATCACAGTGATTTTGTTGGTCCTCGCCTCATTGCTGCTGGCGCCACGCCCGGCCATTGAAGATCCTCGGTGTTGTGCGCCTCCTGGGGGTGCTGGTGTGTAAAACAAGACGTCAATGCGGCCATCAGTGATCCAAAGATACTGTGATTATCTGTGATTTAGCCCTAAGTTTAAACAGTAATGAATTCATAGCATGAATAAACTTGAAGATGTCGATGCTTCCAGTGATGAGCAATTACCAAACGTTCAAAAAGAAGGACAAGTCTTATCACCTTGTCAACCCATTTATTGGCAAACACAACCCTGGACATCTTAGTTGTTGATTACCTGGTGGTTCCACCGAAAATGACTCATATTTTGGAGCCTTTGAAAATCCTCGATGAACTTCGATGAAGGGCAGATTGACAAGAAACCATAAGAAACCCATATAATTTGGAGGGAACAAACTTGTTGCAAAACAAAACCACTTCCATTGATCATTTCTTGTTGGCGAAATCACCAACCAACTTTGGTCAAATCTCAATGTCTTCATGGTTCAACCGCCGTGTTGATGAAGCCACCAAGGCCAATCGCAGCAATTTCATGCACTTCCTGCCTTCCCATCCACAGCCGCTGAGTGTCGCTAGCCAGCGAACCGTGGACGTGGCCAACATGTCGAATCTGGTCGTTTCTCGGCCGGAGTGCCTGGTGATAATTGAGCGTTGAAAGGTGATGTTGGGCTGTGAAAAGCCATCTTTCCCCAAATTGGTGATCATTTGCTGCTAAAGAGTGTTTCCAGCATTTGGTGTTTTTTGGGTTGGGGTGGTTCCAAAACAGTCCATGCAAAAATATGTCTGAGATGGTAGATGATCAGCCCTTTCTTGTCAAAAAAAACATGGCGATTTGTTTCCGGCCATGACCAAATGAGCAGTGAGCAGCAAGCAAAATCGTTGTGGTTGTTGATTGAGGGTTCTTCCATTCTTGATGTTTTGTTTTCCATTTCCAGCTTTACAGCGTTGTCCCTTGCTGCCATGCACATTCTCTATTTATATACAATGTATCTCTCTCTCTCTCTCTCTCTCGTATACACACATATATACATATATATATATACATATATATATACATATATATATATATATACATATATATACATATATATATATACATATATATATATACATATATATATATATATGTTGTGTGGTTTTTGGTGGGTGCTCCAAAACCTCTAGTTTCCCCATTGACAATACCCTCCAGTAATCAAACATGGTTTGCCGGAAAAACATCCATTCATAGATGACCTTTCCCACAACCTCCATTCATAGAGGGATTGTAGCCAGCTTTGGATGATTTTTGGTTTCATTGATAGCTGATTTCCCCATATTTTCCCACATGTTCCCCATATTTTCCCATATATTTGACTGGATTGGTTTAAGGGATTTTTTTTACGGGAAACCATCTAGATTGTCCCAGTAAATATATGTAAATATGGGGCAAAATCCTGTAGATTTTCCCACCAATCCATTGGATGGTCCCTGGTTAGCGGCGCCAGGTTCAGTTCCAGTTCTTCATCGGCAGCAGCCCCTTTGGGGACGTAGAACTTGCTGAACTGTTGGGCTTGTGGAGATGTATTCATGAGGGGAAAAATGCAAAAAAAAAACGCCAACAAACATAAATGGGGGGTAGCCCACCGTGTAAATATATATATATATATTGCAACATATATAATTATAGTTTTAACATAGATATGTGCAGTTGTATAGCATTGCCAGTGGTATTGTATAGATATCTATGTGGATGATGAATCAGGTTGAGATATAGACATACTCCCGTGCTTTTGCATGTCAGCATGCAATCAGATATCCTGCGTGTGTAACATCTAAATAGATGTAAAACTTCTCCCTTTTTCTTTTTCTTTCTTCTCTCCTTTTAATAAAACAGGGGGGTCATCCACGACCTTGACTGATGACCCAACGAAGAGGGTCAAGGTTCGTGCTGATATCACGGCTGATCACCGTGACGTACCTGCTTTGGTTTTCATGTCAATTTTCTGCAATGGGACGTGGCTAACCCGAGAACCACCATGCCGCTTCCAAACAATTTATTTTACCTGGTTTTACACGGTCGCCGCAATCTGGTTATGGATGACGATTTATTTGCCGTTTTTGGAGTTTGGTTTGGGCTACGTTGGATATTTTCGGAAGACCTTCATCGTATTCGCAAAGTACAACCACGAGATCTACTTTAGGTTTAATTGTCTAGGCTTGTTGCATGTTACAGGATTCAGTTCCTGATGGATCTCTTCAAAGATCCAATTTTGTCTAGTGTGTGCGCAGATGTTTGGAAGCAGCACGTCTTAAGTTCGCTGCTGCTGGTTGAAGCACAACTGCAGCCATGTCAATGGCTAGCAGCTTGTGCACATGCCTAGGTACAGTAAGATATCCCACATCTACATAGTGCTTGCAGTACCTAAGCCATCTGATTGAATATCTTGCGCATATGCCCAGGTGAGATCACGTCGTAGCACATGTACTTGCAATATCTTGCAGTTCAAGAACTGCCCGCCACCAAATCATGCAAGGCAAAAAATATCTCAGTGGCATGACAACAATCTCTCCCAAGGAAATGCGCACTACGTGAATTCCAACATTTTGTTGCTTTGCTGCAAGGGAATTTCATTTCACATGCAGACGAATCACGCGAATTACTCATGCAAAGAAGTAGTATTGTGATAATGTGGTTTCTTTAAAGCACATGTACTTGTCTCAGGGGCGCCATTTGACAGACTCACATGCATTGCATGTTGATCTGCTAGACCAAACTGGACATCAGACACTGGCAGTATCAACGAACGGAGGCTGCCCATAACTGACTCCCACCAGTTGTCCTTTGCAGAAGTGATTGGGCGTTCAACCCGGAGACAGTCGAGCAGATACTTTGTGACTTGGTGCGGTGAGGGATAGCCGCCCGAAGGGCCCTCAAGGGCCCAAGAGGTGGGAGATAGGCCCGCCACCTCTGATTCAGGGGAACAACATGGGTACCGGGCCAGTACCGGGTAACCATTGGTCATTTTGCAAGCATCATGAAGGGTGTTGGCCACGTGGTGGCATTGTTGGGTTTATAAGTTAGTTGTATACATATATATATATGTATATATATATACATATACATATACATGCATATATGTACATCATACCTCCAGCCGTTTGTGAATTTTAGTGTCTCTCCACGAGTGTTTTGCATCCTCTCCAGCTTAAGGTGAGCCACTGGTGGGGGGCGCCCTTCGAAAAATCCATGCAGAGTATTTGTAAGTCGCTCGGTGGGTCCAGGGGATGGGTCTTGGCCGGGACATGATCTGCTGCAGCGAGCCAGGCGCTGAGGGTCCAATGGCTCCAATGGGGTCCAAGATGGTTTAAGTCTGCCTGATTTCATGGGGGTTATGATGAGATCATTATCATCGATTACCCAAATCCAGATCAGAATAGGAAAATTGCATAGTTATGATGAAGCCGATTCGGACCGCCATGCGGCAGAAAAATGCAAAAGTGATGGCGAAATACACGAAATATTATGCAAACCCAGCTGTTCACTTGTTTGGGGAGCAGTTAAGCCATCAGCAAAAGAACAAGGATAGTTTCATGTAGCAACTACGGTTGCATGTTGCTCCATACAGCTGCAGCACCAACAGCAAGCCGCCCCTCTTTTCGTCGCCAAGGATGACATCAAATGCCATGGGTTTGCATTGTGACATGTTGACGCTGAGGCACGCGCAATTGGCAGGGGGCAACAAGTGGAAAGAAACTTGCTCCAATTGCTGGTGGTAGCCCATGAATTTCCATGATCCTCCTATGATTTTCCCATGGTTTTTGCCATTGCTGATGGTAAAACCCATGCTTTTCCCATTTCCCATGGCTTTTCTCGTGGCGGGGCTTATGCTAAGGAATTGGCCTATTGGTGTTGTTTGTTCAGCGTGAACCAGTGGCGAATGGAAGATGAGCTCGGAAATGGTCAGAACCGCAGAACCGGCGGGAATGGTTCGGAGCTATGGTTACCTAAATGTATGCTCCAATCGCCATGGGCAGCAAGGGAGCTACTAAGATCTACTCAGAGTTTTCCAATCACATGATCGTAACTCTGGATTTGCAAATTATCTGCAGTATCTTCCAGTGTCTTTTCGTGAGTGGGTCCCTTGGTGATTTCAGCTGGAAACCATGTGTGTACCCACAGTGTCTTGATGGCAGCGGCTGAAAGCTATCGTACATTGACTGGCTGCCTGCTTGTCATCTTGTATTTGTCCTGGTTTGGGGATCTGCCGCCTGACATCAGTTTCACAGCAGCAGACATCCGTCTGAAGGCAAAGGGGGTTCCTGATCAGAATGCATAGTGAATACATGTGAATACATGTGAATACAAAAGACTGTTTTTTTTCCAGTTCGCTCCACGACCAATGCTTGAAGCTTAGAATGTGTTTGATATGTTTAATCTTGCCGGTGCTTAGCAGGGAATGAGGTAATGATCCATAATAACTATTAATAATCATCCCATTCCCCCATTCCCATCCATTCCCAACTAAGCTCCAGTAAGTAATTTTGAACATCCCCACCAACAGCCCCAGCCATTCATTCAGTGTGAGACATCGCCGACTGTGGACCGGGCAGGTGACTTGGCACGCTCTTCTTTTTATTTGGCACCTGGGACGGTCAATTTTTCATCACGCTGAAGATGGCCAATGCAAGACGTGCAACAGTGCAACTGCAAAGTACTTAAGTACACTGTATACAGTAATGTGGGTAAAACACTAATAAAAATTTAGAGACAGACGGTTTATACCATCCATTTAGGGTGATTTTGGGGATAGTTTTTATTATTGATTAAACCACGTGAATCCTTATACCAAAATAAGTTGAAGCATTGCTGGTTTCACGTTCTGCTGATTTCCGTTGTGTGCCCTTGGGGGTTTCACCATAGTCATGGGTTACCGAACTACAACCCAGTCGAACCACCCCCCAGTGTAGGTTCCTTATTTGAAAATCAGAAACATGCCTTATTTGGATTTTGGCGATTTGAGGATCATGGGTTTATCTATGGAGTTTCTGGCCTCATATGAAAATCAAATATTGCCTTATTTGGGAATTGAATATTGCCTTATTTGAAAATTGAATATTGCCTTATTTGAACCGTGATGTTTTTTTGGGGATCTTTTTTTGATAGTATCTACACGCCTTATTTGAAAATTGAATATTGCCTTATTTGAACCGTGATTGTTTTTTTTGGATCTGTTTTTGATAGTATCTACACGCCTTATTTGAAAATTGAATATTGCCTTATTTGAACCGTGATGTTTTTTTTGGGATCTGTTTTTGATAGTATCTACACGCCTTATTTGAAACTCGAATATGGCCTTATTTGAACCACAATGTTTTTTAAACATAATTCCAACTTTTTGTGAATTTTATTTTTCATAATTTCAAAAACAAATGCAGCCCGAAATTTGAACCCGCATGGTTGTGTCTGATTTCCATTTTTTAATTTTGAGATCCCGTTTATGTTTCAAATCAGACACTATTTACTTTTCAAAAACACCGATCATCAAACAGAACAAATCCGAATAAGGCATGTTAAGGTGGTTCGATTGGGTTTTGGGTCAAGCATCCATGAGAATGAATTCAATTTAAAGATTTCTATTTCAAATAGATCCTAATAACCCCTAATAGAGAAACATCACATAGACGATCAAAACTAGTGGTATGAACCATTATCGTCCATTTGTTCCTTGTCGTCCATTATTGCCCGTTGTTTTCCTTATTTGTCGCTATGTTCATTGGACTTTATTTTTCATCAGTTTTCCTTATTTGTTCCTATTTGTTCTTATTTACACCTATATTTTCTTATTTGACATTGTTTGTCACTATTTTGTTCTTGTGTGTCTCTTATTTGTATTCTTGTTTCCCTTATTTGTCCTTATTTGTACTTATTTGTCACTATGTGTATTTTTTTGTTTTGTTTCCCTCCTTAGTTGTCTTTATTTTTCAATATTTTTCAATTCCCTTATTTCATCCGTTTTCCTTATTTGTCCTTATTTGTTCTTATTTATACTTATATTTTCTTATTTGTCATTGTTTGTCACTATTTTGTTTTTGTTTGTTCCTTAATTGTACTCTTGTTTTCCTTGTTTGTCCTTATTTGTACTTATTTGTCACTATTCGTACTTTTTGTTTTTTCTTTACTCCTTATTTTTCACTATTTGTTCCTTATGTCCTTATTTTACATTGATTAAATTTGGGCGGCTCAAATGGGTACTATGAGCACGGTGGTGTCTAAGGAATGTTCTCTGCAAAGGATTGTGTACATATGTTGATTTTCAGAAAAGGATCCTACACTGGACGGTGGTTCGATTGGGTTTTGGGTCAAGCATCCATGAGAATGAGTTAAATTTGAAGATTGTTGTTTCAAATAGATCCTAATAACCCCTAATAGAGAAACATCGAATAGACAATCAAACTATTATCGTCCATTTGTTCCTTGTCGCCCATTATTGCCCGTTGTTTTCCTTATGTGTCGCTATTTTCATTGGACTTTATTTTTCATTAGTTTTGAGAGTTTCCAGTCTAGTAAGGTTCTATAAATCAAGGTTTTGATTTTTTTCTGAAAATTTTCTGAAAAAAATCTGAATCACATTTCTGGAAAAATTCTGAAAAAATTGTGAATCCAGAGATTTTCTGCTGCCAGCCATTCAAAAATGAATGAAAACTTGTTGTTTTGCTGCTGTTTTCAAGCTGTTTTGCTGCTATTTTCAAACTTGTTGCGTTGCTTTTCTCGAATTTTGACGAACTCAGAAATTTTTCAGATTTTTTTCAGAATTTTTTCAGAACTTTCTGAAAATTTTCTGAAAAAAATCTGACAAATTTGTGAATCGAGAAATTTTCTGCTGCCAGCGATTCAAAAATGAATGAAAACTAGCTGTTTTGTTGCTATTGTCAAACTTTTTGCGTTGCTTTTCTCGAATTTTGACGAATTTCAAAATTTTTTTCAGAATTTTTTCAGAAAGTTTTCAGAAATTTCTGATTTCTGAAAAAAATCGGAAAAATTTACTGAAAAATTTGTGAATCCAGAGATTTTCTGCTGCCAGCGATTCAAAAATGAATGAAAACTATCTGTTTTGCTGCTGTTTTCAAAGTTTTCAGCTAGTTTTTCATACTTTTGGCAGTTCCCAGGTACCAAAAGTGGAGGAAAACTAGCTGTTTTGCTGCTATTGTCAAACTTTTTGCGTTGCTTTTCTCGAATTTTGACGAATTTCAGAATTTTTTCAGAAATTTTCAATTTTTTTAAGAATTTTTCAGATTTTTTTCAGAATTTTTTGAAAAAAATTGACAAAATTCTGAAAAGTTTCTGAATTTTTTCTTAAAATGTATGAATGTAGAGATTTTCTGCTGTCAACCATTCAAAAATGAAGACACAACAGGAAAACAGCAACGGGAAACTGATATAAAATGAGAACTGTCACTTTTATGGTTTGTAAAGCAGAAAAACTTGCTTTTGTAAGATATGGAAATTTATAGTGTAACAAATTTGTTTAAACCTGATTTTGGGCATAATTTATGGATAGAACTTTGTTTTTTGAATATATTTTGACAAAAAAATATGTTTTTTTTTAAAGTAAAAATTTCATTCCAATACCTTCAAAATGAACCAGTGAATGTTTTAAAACTGATTGTGGATATAATTTATTGAAACAAAACTTTTTTAAAAAAACATATTAAAAGTTCAAATTTTCATTCCAATACCTTTCAACTGATCCACTGAATGTTTTAGAACTGGTTGTGGATATAATTTATTGAAACAAAACTTTTTAAAAAAATATATATAAAGTTTAGATTTTCATTCTAATACCTTTAAACTGATCCACTGAATGTTTTAGAACTGATTGTGGATATAATTTATTGAAAGAAATCATTTTTAAAAACATTTCAAGTATTCAGCAAATATGTGCAATTTTGACATTTCAATATGTTTCAAAAGCACCTTTTTCTAGTTTACAAACTATAAAAGTGACATTTCTCATTTTGCATCATTTTCCCGTTGTTCTTCTCCCGTTGTGGCTCCGTTGTGTCTCCCCGTTGTAACACTCCGTCGTGCCTTCCCCGGCTGAGAGCTGGCACTGAATCTCGGGGAACCTGATAGGGGTTGGGCAAACTGACTAATAACACTTAATAAATCCTTTTAAGCTTTCAGAGTAATGACCAACAGATTAGATGAACACACATTCCTTAGGAAAATAATAGGAACTAATAAGATCTAATAAGCACTACTGGGTACTGATGAGTTGGGACTGAGCTGGCTAGCTATTGCCAGGCACAACCATAGCATTGGGAGGCTGGGGGCCTGGGCTGGTGGATTGGAGTGTTGGGTAGGACCTGGGAGTGAGGGGATGGTTGGGTGGGGGGTGGGCCAGGCTATGCAAGGCATAGCCTATTAGGCACTAATAAGCACTAATAGCAGGGCCATAGCTGCTCACCTGGTGGTTGTGCCCAGCTCCTGCCACCAGCTAGCCAGCTCAGCCCCACCTCCCAGTCCAAGCCCAAGGAGCTATTACTGTTATTAGTGCCCAATAGGGCTTGCTTAGCCTAGCCTGGCCCAGCACCCCCGCCACCCTCCACACTCTCAGCTCCATCGCCTTCCACCGACATCCACCACCCGGAAGGAATACATAAAATGCTGACAAATCACCATCATGCCGAATAAACACTAATAAGCACTAATAATGACTGGACGCTTAGGCTGTTCACCAGATAATTGCTTGCCAAAAATTCAAGGAAAATCCTAGGTTCTAGGTAATAAAAAAAAATCCACAGTTCCCCAGCAACTTTCGCAATCCCATAGCAAATTCTTATTTCCCTGGCAAATTCCACCTGCAAATTTCCGGCAAATTCCCACGCAAATTTCCCGGCAAATTCCCTGGCAAATTTCCGTAGCAAATTTCCGTGTCAAATTCCTCTTGCCTTATATTGCCTTATTTCAAAATCAGCTTTATTCCAAAGTTGCTGTTTTGAAATCCCGATATTGCATTATTCGAAATTATAATATTGCCTTATTTGAAAATCAGCTTTATCCCAAAGTTGCCGGATTGAAATCCCGACACTGCCTTATTCGAAATTATGATATTGCCTTATTTGAAAATGAGCTTTAT